GGATACCTTGAGGCCCAGGCTGAGAAAGAGAAACAGAAAGATGCAGAGAAAGGTGGCAAGGGCAAGGGAAAGCGTAAGAGAGGCAGTGACAGTGAGAGCAGTAGTGAAGGTATGATCACCAATCACTAATGGTGTAATTTTTTTCATTAACATTTAAAGTACCCTTGTACATTGTTCAATAAAATACAGTAGGAAAATGAGTATTACATTATCGACAAAAAGTTAAGGCACCATACTAACAGAACAAACATAATGTCTTCAAAGACATAGACATCTCTCGAAACAGTGCGATCCAGATATTTTCAAATGATAGTTCTGGTGTGTTCGAAGCTGTCTTCAGTGTACTTGACCACCAGCATACTCTGAAAAAGTATGTAATTTATCATAAATATTCCATATATTGGTCAAACTTTTATTGGCTGTTTGTATGTTTCATGTAGATGAGCCTGCCAGTATTAATAAAAGCACCCCTAGTAAGGCAAGTACCCCTAAACGCAAGAAGGTTGCTGCTTACAAGATCAATCCGGACACTGCTAAGCTAATTGCACAAGATGAACAGAACAAGAAGGTCTGGGATGAGGCAATGAAGTTTACCAAGGAAGGGGGACAGGTAGAGATCAATCTCATTTATCATTTCACTGAAAAAAATGAACACACAATCCAACCTATTTCATGACATGCTTACTTCCATTATTTTGAGTAATTGGCATTTCATCACTAGAGAATTCCTCTTCAAATATGTATAATAGCTGGATGTAATACTTGGAACAGACCTTATCATCATTATAATCAATTATATGAAAGTTATTATTGATTAATTTATGTTTACCGGATTGAAGATATGTGTATAAATCGATAATCTGTCAATTAGCATGAGTTGCAGTTAATATATGTATATAACATGTATGTTTGTTTTAGGTGTTCCTGCGTAAAGTGGAAGAAATGTTTGGCTGTATATGCTGTCAAGATATTGTATGTCGCCCCATCACTGTCAAGTGTTTGCACAACATATGCAAGGTAAACTATTCTGTAGTTGTTAGGAATTGTTCATTTGATCCAATCTAAGGTAGTTCTCTTGCTATAACAAGATGAAACAATAAACATGTGTTCTACTGTAAGTCTAAAATTGTGCTACATGTTTCACATAGATATCTATTTAATATACAATACTGTGTCTATGTGTAACTAATTATCTGGTTTGATTGCAGGAATTTATACTGTTTGTGTATGCAGTTGCAAGAATGTATAATGTCTGTGTATGATTGCAGGAATGCATATTGTCTGTGTATGATTGCAGGAATGCATATTGTCTGTGTATGATTGCAGGAATGCATATTGTCTGTGTATTATTGTATGTTTGCAGGAATGTATACTGTGTATGGTGGCAATAATGTATCTCTGTTTATGGTTGCAAGAATTAAAATGTCTGATTGCATATTGTCTGTATGGTTGGATAATTTTATAATGTCTGTGTTTGTTTGCAGGACTGTCTGAGCAGGTCATTCAAGGCAGAGGTGTACAGTTGTCCTGCATGTAGGGAAGAACTTGGGAAGAACTACAGCATGGCAACCAACAAGCCCCTCACTGCCGCACTCCAGGCCCTCTTCCCAGGCTATGAGAGTGGGCGCTAGGCAACTCACTCACAGGATACAAGAATAGGCGCTAGGCATGCTTGTCAACCAACACATGGTGTACACTCTAAGTAGATACTATGTCAAGCTTTACATGCTGTCAATCTTGCTAAGAGGCAATTGTGTAAAACTTAGGAATGATCCAAATCCTTGAATATGTGGACTGAGATAAAGAATTAATATATGACAGTAATGCTTATCTGAAGAACTAGGCCTGGATGAAAGGTTATTAGGAAGAATCAGAGACACTACGTGCGGAAGATAAAATGCTACTTTGCTAATATGTGCCGCTATATAGACTGATAGAGACCTAGATGAATGTGAAATGTGACTTTGTAGAATGTTTATTAATTCTGCATTAATGGAATTACATTTTTCGTGCCAATATCCCTTACATAGCCTTCATGTAACATTCGAGAAGTTTTTATTAAAATATTTTTTGAAACTGAATTTTTTGAAGTTCAATGTCAACTGAAAAGATATACCCGTTACATATTGAAGTTTGGAATAGTGAGAATCGTGCTATTCATTGTTCAAGCATTAACTTTTTCATTGTTCAATTTGTCATTATTAACTATTTATCTTATGAATTATGTATTTTATTTGTTTCCATTACTATTTTATACTAATAACCAGGGATTTCTCAAAATATTTTTAATGAAATTCTTCAATGTTATGGTGTGTCATTGTATGATATCATAGTCTAGAACAATAGATCAATAATTTTTAATTTCGAATGCTTTAAGAAAAGTACCCCATATAATTCAAATGCCATGATTAGTATTAGAGTGAAAAAAGCATTAATTCAATGAATATTATGTTGTACCAATGTGTGTTACATAACATGATATGACAAAATTTATGTATCGAGAGGTAATTTCTCAAAAATATGAATTAAGATTATTAATATTCAATAATGTAACATATATTTACCAATATTAACATCAAGGAAGACAAATGTGATTCCAGCAAATGTGTTACAATTTTTTCAAAAAATTAAATGCAAATGCAATATTCTTGTCGAATTGAAATCCAGTTGAGAATAATGTAATAATGAATCAGACTCAATCAGCAGGATATGCACAAAGAGAGATTGGTAAGAATTCAGTGAAAAATTGCGCACAAACTGAGAAAAATAACTGCTCATATACAAAACTGCACAGTGCTTTTGCATACAACCTGTTTGTTGATGTGTAAATGTCCTCAGTAGTTATGTGAAAAGGAACATGCTAAAGTTAGTTCAGTTGTTTTTTGTCATTGCGATATAACTGGATATTAGTTGAGGGGTTATAGGTGTTGCTATGGCAACCATATGCTTCTTTGTTATCGATTTGTATGTAATACGCTCAGCAATTGATGAATGCTTCTTATCAATCGGGTTTCTACAGGCTCAATTTTACATTAACAACATTAAATGTTTAATAAAAAGACTGTGTGTAAGGGTGTCAATTTGTTTGTAATTTCAAATTGTAAGAGTTGAAAATACCCAAATCAGAGTAATTATGAACTAGTTTCAGAGAATTTGTAGAGGCCTGATTAATAAGATTTAATATGAAGTACTTAGAGGCAGTGATGTATGTAATAAATGTTATAGATTTAGAAAATGTATATTGTAAATAATTCTTATACGTCCAACAACTGACCAACAAGATGCTGTAACCATAAAAACACGATATGTTTGCATGTTTAAGTATTAAATTGTGTTTCTGATGTGTTCCATAGAATTAATATGTTATTTTTGTAAGTCATTTGAAAAGGATGTTAGCCATATGTATTTTTTACTATATTTTGTATACAGTAGTTTTTATAGCAGTTACTCATTTGTTTGTTGAATACGAAGGAATATCTTCAACATTCTATTGTTGCTGATAAAATTAAAAATTGTGACAAAATAGATTTTCATTAGGAGTTAATTTTAATGATTTTTTGAAAGTCTAAAATTTTGTATATATATCTAGGTCATTAAGAATCTAATATCTGTTTTTTTAAATGTTAGGTATGTAACTTTGCTTGTTTAAAATTTATGTGACAATAGGAAATCTGCAGTAGACTTATGAATTGAAGAATTGAATCAAGTACAGTAAAACCCATCCAATCAGAATGCTACTGGGACCAACCCAAAGTGTTCAAATTGACAGGTGTTCACATTCTATGTTCTATGAGATTAAAAAAAATGACAGAAAAGTGTTCACTTGTAGAGGTGTTCAGACTAGGGAAGTGTTCAGCTATACAAGTTTTGTTGTACCAAGTATAGATCTGGGATAAATATAATATTAGATATTTTAATCCCAGATATAGCAGTATATATATATGTTCAGGAGGCCCCTCAATTGTGTTCATGTTGCCATGAAAGGCTTATTATATATTAATCACTTGTAGATGAAATTCTGAAGTTATTGTTATGCAAATGTATGTAACAATGCACAAATAGTCTACTAATAAAATATACAAAACATATTCTATGTATTCTGTATTGTATTTCATTTTCTTTTATAAGAATTTTGTTGATAGGTCTCAATCACTGAGGCACAAATTGTTAAGGGGTCACTTCAAAACATGCCGTAATCCCAACTCAATATTGGTCAAAGTTTCTGAAAATCAGTGAATGTGACTTTGTAACCTTTTACCCATTCCCAAACCTCAAAATGTTGGTTTGCACATGTGTTAAGTGGCGACCCCCTGCTATTTAAAGTAGGTGTTCTTTGTTTCAAATGCTGTTAGTATTTTGCAATTTTATCAAGGATATAACCGGAGTTTGACGAGAATCAAATTTTGACGCTTACTCTAGGTAAACACAATCCCCTTTTATGTTACCCTGATTCAATAGTTCACAAGGGAAGTTTTTAAGTTTTTTTCAGGTATTATATAAGTAAATCATATCTGCCAACCTAAGACCAAAATTTTGTGGTAGATTTTTTTAAAATTGCTGTATTTTAAGAGTTTGGTTAACTAAAAAAATCATGGCAGAAAGCATTCCTTCAAGTGGCAGTCCAAACACCAACTGCCACTTGAAGGAATTCTTTCTGCCATGATTTTTGTAGTTAACCAAACCCTTTTGTACACAGATCTTTATTCCGAATGCAACAAAAATATGACACGCCAGCTTACTTAGATAAATACGCAATATCCTGATAACCACAGACCTGCCGATATCTATTTATATTCGGGTCGGTAAAGGAATATTACGGGGACAGTACAGGAAGACTTAATTTTTCAGCATTTCCCAACAATAACGGGAGTTTTACGGCAGTTTGAACAAAAATACTGTTGATTTTAGCATGCAGAAATATGGTAGATTTTCAAAAATTTACGGTCGATTTTCAAAATGTTACAATAGATTTTAAAAAATTTACGGTAGATTTATGGCCGTTCTCATGGAAAAAAACGAGTTTTTAAAAAAAATTTACAGTCGATTTCGGAAAAAATACGGTAGATTTTTTTACGGGCATTTTTAGGGGAAAAAATGGTATTTTTATGGTAGTTTGTCTTTTTTTTACGGAAAACGAAAAATTTATGGTAGATTCCCGTAAAAATACGGTAGGTTGGCAGGTATGTAAATGGCTGTAACCTAGAGGATGATGCGGTGGTCAAAAATTCATGAGGAAAAAGTACAGGTGCAATGTTCTGGACATTAACAATTCACAATTGTGTACTGGAGCATAACACACATATATCTACCTCCTCCAATAATAAACATACCATAAGTCTTAACCAGCAATTTATTTGAGTCTTCATAATAATGACTTTTGAAGCCATAAACACAGCATTTCCCTATAAAATATCTCCTTGTCCAATGTGCGTTAATTCCTTATTGTACTGCTAATGTTTTCATTTATTTTTTACTTTCTTCAGTTTTTTCTCCACCAAGTGGTGATTTTAATACTTCATCAATAAGTCCAAATTCTTTAGCCTCATCTGGACTCATAAATCTGTCCCTTTCTAAATTCTTCTCTGAAAATAAAGCATGTGACATTAGATAAGATTACATCAGTAGTAATAGGGGTGGAGGGCTATAGCTTTGTCTAGATATTTGTCAGGACTTCCTTCACATACAGTTGGCTCAACTGAATTACATTAGTTAGTTCATCATGATCTGAAAGCTGGGATGCTAGAAAGGTTGCATACTTTACATCATATTTCATTAGCTGAGATAGAGAGGTAAACTCCTTTACCTATTAAATCAAGAGGTTGAGATTTTCTTTATACACGAAGGTTGAGAGGTATGTTTTCTCTTGTCTATTATATCAAAACGTTCAGGGATGGGTTGATATTTTTCTCACTATTATTTCAAGGGGTTGAGAGATGATTTCCCTAACTGGTATATCAAGGGGTTGAGAGGTATGATATCCCTTACCAGTATATAAAGGGGTTGAGATATATGATATTGAATGATTTCCCTTACTATTAAATCAAGGGGCTGAGAGGTATGATTTCCCTAACTAGTATATCAAGGGGTTGAGAGGTATGATATCCCTTACTAGTATATAAAGGGGTTGAGATATAATATGATATTGTATGATTCCCTTACTATTAAATCAAGGGGTGAGAGGTATGATTTTCTTTGCCTATTATATCTAGGGGTTGAGAAGTATGATTTCCTTACCAGTATATAAAGGGGTTGAGATATATGATATTGTATGATTTCCCTTACTATTAAATCAAGGGGTAAGTGAGAGGTATGGTTTCCCTTACTATTAAATCAAGGGGTTGAGAGGTATGATTTCCCCAACTAGTATATCAAGGGGTTGAGAAGTATGATTTCCTTACCTATTGTTTCAAGAGGTTGAGAGGTATGTTTAACATAGAGTTGATTTATTTGTTTTTTCATCTTAAGAATCTCCTCAGCCTGTATCTGTATATCTGTTGCTTGACCCTGCAAAAACAATTGAGAATAATCAATGAAGTTTTTACATTAAAATACGTTTTGTAATTTGACATTTGAGTAGACGTAAAGTGATGATATTAAATCCCAATTAATGGTCAAGTTATTGTACCATTCAAGTAAAACAGAAAAATATTTTGCCTGAGAAGGTCTCAAGGTACAGAACTTACAGCTGTCTGGCTGCCAATGGCAATCTTTTCACTCTTGCCAATGAACTTGGAAAAATGAGTTGCCTATTGGACAGTGGACTCAATTCCAATATTTTAATTAGACAATCATGTTTTCAACTTTTAGTCATGAACCTTGGAAGGTCCGTATATCATGTCGGCACCATCTTCTGAGGGTACAATATTTTCAGTATTTCCAATTTCCATGGCATACAGTTTTATAATTGTTTTTCAAAATTCTATTAGAAGTCATAACAGGTGATATGATGGTGTCAATAGAAAATGACATCACTTGAACTAATCAGATCACTGGGAATTTCACAATCTTTGAATAATATATCATATCACTCATTCAATGAATGGGAACATTAAGTGAAATTCTTGCATTTAAGGTACAGCTGGAAAATAACATTTTAGGAAAAATTGCTATACCTGTACATGAAGGCATGTGTAATTTCCTTGCTTTTTCAGGAAAGTATCATTACATTGTCTTCTTTTAGTAAATCTGGTAAAAGTTCAATGGTCCCGAACTCCAGGAAATTCTGATTTTTCACACTTTCTATTTTTCCAAATTTTCTTTCAAAGTTCCCAGACAACACAGGAGCCACCTGTTGTTTTTGCTCCTTTCTACCAATTCTTGAGAATGAAATAAAATGTCTTTCCGAACCTTGTAGGAACAAAATAGCATGTACGACATGTTTTTAGACCTCTCAATATTATAGTTATACAAAGGATTTTTGGTTGATTTTAAAAAAGTATTCAAAAAATTAAAACAAAATCCCCCCAAAATAGATAAAAATCAAGATAAACCTTTTATTTCATTAACAAGATACTTTTTTAAAATCAACCAAAATTTCCTTTGTGCAATTACAATATTGAGAGACCTAAACATGTTGTGTTTATGTCGTTTTGCTCCAATGAGGTTCGGAAAGATGTTTCATTTCACTCTGGAAACATGATACAAAGAACAAAAGAAGTGTTTGATGTGTTAAAAACAATATAGATGAAAGTATATATGATACGACGTCAGATACTGTACATCACGGCGTAACAGTGTAATTGTTCATTTTACCGACAAAATGCAAAGATTTACGCGATAAATATGCGCAATGCTCCTCCAAGTAATTGCAAACGTTTTAATATTCGTGGAATCTTCTTAAAAACTTCAAGTTTTGTTCAGATTAATGTGCGCTTCAATACAATTCTATATTCAAAAAGGTTGTGTCACGATATACAGAATTAGAATCACCAGAAAGTAGACATTTCAAACCCTACCCGTTTTCTTCTTTGTCGCGCTTTTCGGCCCTGCGCTCTCGTTGTCGCACCGTCTTTCTAGACTCTTTCACAATGCCCCTTGTCATATTCAACAGATAAACACAGACGGGAACATATTAAGGATTGTTAAATGCATTATTTGTAATTTATTTTAACTCGAATATTTAGTTTTATTTATTTAAAGCAATGAATAATAAAGGAGAACATATAATACGCTAACGGCGTAACGTCTTATTTTGTAAAGGCTTCACTTGGGGTTGCGGTGATAAAACGATGTCTATCTCAATATAGAACTGGTTCAAATTAAATGAAATTAATTGTATGTAGTAAGGGGTATATTTAAAAGAACATGCTGAAACATCGGAAAGTTTTGAATGTTTATCCCTTAATTAGAAATATTTGAACTCAAAAAATGAAACGTAATTTTGTGAATTTTTCACATGGCTTCACTTCATATTTCTTTCAATATATACTTCTTACAGACTGAATTTTAATCGAAATGATATAGTTTTTTGATAAAAATATAGAATATGATATGCCCTTCAGGAATCAAAAAAAGAATAATTCACCTTTCAAACGATTTAATGTTTAATTGATCAAAACATATATCTTGTTTTTTGAAATTCTGCCTGTCGACACTTTTTGTGCATAAATATAAGCGTTAAGTTAGCATTGTTATATTATGACGTCATCACACAGAATCTGTTTGTCTTTTCCAAAATGGTGCATTTAAATATTGCGAAAATTTGAGAAAGATCCGTTGGGAAATGAAAAAGTTATCTTCATTTTTCGTTTAAAATTAAAATCACTTTTCTTCAAAATGTTACAGTCGACACCCGGTTTTAGCATAGAAAGTCGCATAATACGGCTTGCGTGATTCTCATTTAAAAAGTCCCAAATCAGTTATTTGGAATTCTGATAGGCAAAATATTTCATGGACATACGTGTTCAACTGATGACGAAAAATTGTAGAAAAATATGATTTTGCTGTCGAGATATTGCGGTTTTAAAAGTAAGTACGCATTAAAAATGCAGTAAAATGCCGCGATGTACAGTATCTGACGTTGTATCATATATATTTTTCAAATTATATTGTTACCATTCAAAAGATGACCATTAAATTGACGATGTGTTAAATTTTTAGATTTTTTCATGACTGGTTTAAGAGAAACGTGTGTTCAAAAAGTTCTCCACTCCTTTATTGATCTTAACATTTATTGTAACTAGAAACTTTGAATTATATTGATGTTATACTCTTAGCTATATCTGTTGTTCTCAGTGCATTATTGATCTGTTTTTAACTAGGCAGGGATCCTTAAAAAGAGATAACTTCTGTTCTCCTTGCATACTTTTATCTAGCAGTGCCTCGGGAGAATACCACAGAATGTTACAGTATATAGTAGTTTGTTCCTGAAATATGAGTGGATGAAACTGCTCCACCTTCATGTGAAATACATCATAACAAGTAATGTATTTTCTAATGATATAAATACAACACAATGCAATATCGCTGTCAAGGAAATAGTGATTGATTTTGGTGTTTTTACCTTTTATAAAAATGTCAAAATAATTATTATCCATAATGATTTCCTATAATCAGTAAAGCTTATTGATAAGTATTATTGGTAGCATTGTGAAAGGGCTGAATAGATATTTCTCCTCTAAGTTTGGAACATTTTTGTTTTGTTAATACTAGTCAGCATGGGTTTCAGAGTTATGACTAATGAAAGAATATGCCTTGTCAAGGACAGAGCTTTCGAGAATAAATAGAGATTTTCCTATATGAGGTTCAGGATATTGGGATTATCCCGAGCCCAATATAATATATCCGCCCGAGGGCTGTAGGTCCCGAAGGTAGATATATAGAGATTATCCTATATGAGGTTCAGGATATTGGGATTATCCCGAGGCCAATAGGTCCCGAGGGAAGATATATTATATTGGCCAAGGGATAATCCCAATATCCTGAACCGACTATAGGATGATCTGTTTATCCCATACCAATCACATTGTTCAATTGTTGCAACCAATCGTGGAATTATTTTAAAATATTCATGTCCAGTTTTTTATTCTTGTCCGTAGCCGGATTTTCCTGTTCAAATATTTGATTATTAACGGGGCATACTGCTCCTTCCCTTCTCTAAAGCATCAAACAGATCGCGATCGATTGTTTGCGTTTTTCTCCATTGTCGTTTACAGTATGCGAACGTTACAAAAAAGAACCAATACGGGAACAGCGATTATGACGTAGCGGGCAGATATACTATATCTGCCCGCTTGGAGCGGGACGTAAAGCTATATCTGCCCGCTGATGAAGATATAAGTTTTTACAAACCGACTTTATGTACCCGTAACACGTCCAAGTATGGGATAAATTATATTGTCCAAGGGATAATCCATATATCCTGACCCGACTATAGGATAATCTGTTTATCCCATACCTATCTTGGTCATCTGGTTCATATTGTTCAATTGGCCAGAGTTCAGAAAATATCCAACCGGCAACTGTGGTTTTGAAAATGAACCAATATGCGAATGGTGATAATGATGGAGCGAGCAGATATAGTATATCTGCCAGCTACGTCATAATCGCAGTTCGCAAATTGGTTCATTTTTTGTAACGTTCGCATGATAACTGTAAACAACAATGGAGAAAAACGCAGACAATCGCAATCTGTTCGATGGGAAGGAGCATCCTGTTATAGTGTTAATGATCAAAAATTAGAGAAAATAAATGTGGATGAATAAAATACTGAAAGAACAGGAAAATGCGGCCATGGCCAAGAAAACAAAACCACCCTTGGTATACGCAGCTAACGAAAATTGACCGGTACGGGTCAAAAGCTGGACCGGTACGGGTTAACGGTTTTATTTGAATTTAAAACAGCCATAACTTGCTCAATATTGACTTCCTCGTGTCTAATTTGAAATATATGATGCCTCCCGATGCTTTTAAGTACCCCAATTTTTTACAGATTTTTAAACGGACCAAAACTCTCTAAATGCGCATTTATGCTCTTTTCTCTCGAGAACGACTGTCTCATTTTCACGATAACTTTTATTTAGTACTTCTAACATATAAGATCTATTTTCCCCCATCAAGGAATGATGTAAATGACATGCTATTTACATCTTGTGAGTTTCAATGACGCGCATCTGATTTTATAAAAAATGCCAAACTTTGTGACAAAGAATTTCCTCCTGCTTGCAGCGAGAAGACGGACCGGTTCGGGGCAATCTGCTTGTAGCGAGAAGACGGACCGGTTCGGGGCAATAGCTGATGAAATTCTTTGTCACAAAGTTTGGCATTTTTTATAAAATCAAACGCGCGTCATTGAAACTCACAAGATGTAAATAGCATGTCATTTACATCATACCTTGATGGGGAAAAATAGATCGTATATGTTAGAAGTACTAAATAAAAGTTATCGTGAAAATGAGACAGTCGTTCTCGAGAGAAAAGAGCATAAATGCGCATTTAGAGAGCTTTGGTCCGTTTAAAAATCTGTAAAAAATTGGGGTACTTAAAAGCATCGGGAGGCATCATATATTTCAAATTAGACACGAGGAAGTCAATATTGAGCAAGTTATGGCTATTTTAAATTCAAATAAAATAGTTAACCCGTACCGGTCCAGCTTTTGACCCGTACCGGTCAATTTTCGTTAGCTGCGTATACCAAGGGTGAAAACTAGACATGAATATTCTAAACTATTTCCACAGTTGGTTGAACTTTCTGAACTGTGAGATGACCAAGATTGGTATGGGATAAACAGATGCAGGATATAGGGATTATCCTTTGGGCAATATAATATATCTACCCTCGGGACCTACGTCCCTCAGGCAGATATATTATATTGGCCTCAGAATAATCCCAATATCCTGAACCTCATATAGGATAATCTCTATGTATACATATGTAATGGAGCAAAATAAGCAAGATGAATATTGAAATGTGGCACACCTGCGTGGGAACCTCTCGATCTTGAGTGTCATGCCTTACTGCAATAAAATCTCAAGCATGATAAGCTGTATTGTTAGTACCTCAGTGTGAATACTCGCATCTGATTGGTCAATTAGCGGTCAACATTTTTGCCTGTACCCCACATGTGCATCATGGGATATCATATTGTTGACCGCATTTGTTACTGTACTACACTTGTGAATTATGGGAATATGACGTCATGATGTTCAAAGAAAAACATGGCAGACTGACGTTTTTAAACATTGATGAATGTGATATTTTGACTTTGTTACTAGACAATAAGGATAGCCAAAATACAAAGAGAAACATAGAATTAACATTAACTATACTTAATGAGTATGCAGTGAAGTGCTGAAAATAGAGAATTTAGCTACCCCTTCCTACTTCAGATGCGCGATTCGAACCAGGAGAAAAATAGTGAAATGTACAAAATAAGACTTTTCAAATGCTAAAATGGGGCATTGCACGAACAATTCGTAGATTAAAAAGTAGATGAGGTTACCCCGCGAACACTTGAAATAATCAAACAATATTTTCATTGATCGATGATTGTCGTCTACAAGTGTGTTATTAGTTTCTTCTGACTAACAAAACAATTGTAGACCTCTTCATTCAGTCAACCGACAAAATCATATACCTCGACTGTAAACCTTGAAACTACTGTTGACCTTGACCTTCGGTCTCTGTCAACAGTAGTTTCTCAGTTTACAGTCTCGGTATACAATTTTGCCAGTTGACCTCTGGAGAGGTCAACAATTGTATACTGTAGAAGCAACCTGGTTACCAAGTTCATTACAGAAATCTATGGGGGTCCTCTATGGCATTAAGTATCACAATGCAATTAAATAGGGTAAACATGAGATTTAAAAGCTCAATATAATAGGGGATCAATTGAAAGAGGTTATTAGCCTATTTGATATTCCAGATCAAATGAATTCTGTTAATTTTTCAACATTTTCTTTTGTATGTTGGGGAGATGCATCAAACTTGGACGTTTGGGATTACTTCATTGTAGGGCTATTTTGTCGCTGTAGGATTATTTTGACCATGGATTCATATTTCCAGGGTCAGCCATCTTGGATTAAAATCTCGCCAATTGGAGATTTTGATTTATTTTGAAAAAACAAAACATGGCAGACTGTGAATTTAAAATATAAGCCAATGTCAAAATAGCCCCATGGTCGAAGTAGGCCAACGATGAAGTAACCCCATACAGCAAAGTTTGACGCATATCCCCTAAAGCTAAGACACTTACAGCAGCTTGGCCTGATGGTTGGTGTATCATCACCCTTGAGTTTGGTAAAGAATGTCTCATCCCAGGCTCCCCTGCGCACAGGAGGAGTGATCCCATACTGCATGCCTGCCCCACGCACCATGTAGCAATTGGTGGCAGGACATATTGCATTGTGTCATATATTCCTAAGCCTGCGGTCACAGAGCCACCTGCAAATATTATGAACAACAATATACATGTACATGAAGTTAAATGTAAAATCAATCTAGTTACAGCTTGTAATGGCTTGTATCAAGAGCCCGAATAAGAGTTCCTCTTTGAAAACAAGCAATTTGATATTCTTGTTTGGGAAAAAGGTGGTTTAAATGTGTTCTCTGGTTTAGATTTTCCCCTGATGGTGCCATGATATTTTTTTAATCTACATTCTAAAGTAGCCTGCTAACAACTGAATTGGCTGCTTTTTATTTTACCGAAGTTGATTTGAGAATTACACCAATAGAAGTTATAACATGTATGAATCTATAAATATTGATGAAAACAGCAATCGACAAAAGTTACCTCATAGGAAACTATATGTTTGAGAGCAATAGCCTTGTAAAACCAATAAAAAATCGGTAACCAGAAACTTTGTCTTTTAAGACCGGTGATCAAAGACAATCGTTGAAGATGAAAGAACCCAGACAACTGATATGCTAATATTCTCTTTCGAGTCATTCTCAAAATTATGAATCTTGCAGAGTAAATTGGCAAATCAAAACAAAAAAATGGGAAGGAAATGGGTTCAACTGTTGATACTAGACATTTGTGTGTTATTAACATATGCAGAAGTAATAAACATTAATTATGAGAGGGTTGAGAACATTACGAGGATTGGAACAATATTTGAAACTATGACCGTAAATGGTGATTACACAGAATGTATGTTTGCTTGTGTTCGACGCAATGTGTCATGTGTGGCATTTACTGTACGTACAGACGATGGAGTAACATTTTGTGACCTGAATACTGAGATGATTTGGGATGACCCTCCTGTTGAAATGAACAATAGTGACCACTATGTCAGAAGTAAGTACAGTAAAACCTGTCTATGTAGAACACCTTTGGTACCTCTAAAAAATGTTCCACTTGGGAGGTGTTCTCACGGGGTACCATCGAAATATTTTGGCAGAGAACGACATTTTACTAAGAAATGGCAATAATTTAGCACAATATATTTTTTAACTAGAGTTCTACTTTGATTTTGACAAAAGTAAGTATTCCATGCAATGGCTATTTCATTCATGAGTTTGTAGGAATTCTGTTGGAACCCAGTTCTGATCAAGTACGAAGTTATTGAAATCGGCGCAGTTGGACTTTACTCCGAAAGATGGTTTTTCGATTATAACTTTTTACAACATTTAAGTATAGACTTTTGAAAATAAATACAGAATAGTCCTTATATTATTGAATGATTCTGTTATTTCTGATTCACACGGCTCTGATTTGTTTAATTAAAAAAAAGTTTTAAAAATATTACTTAGGAACGTAACCGGAGTTGGGAACGTAACCGGAAATGAACAATAGTGACCACTATGTCAGAAGTAAGTACAGTAAAACCTGTCTATGTAGAACACCTTTGGTACCTCTAAAAAATGTTCCACTTGGGAGGTGTTCTCACGGGGTACCATCGAATAATTTTGGCAACGTACCGGAGAACGACATTTTACTAAGAAATGGCAATAATTTAGCACAATATATTTTTTAACTAGAGTTCTACTTTGATTTTGACAAAAGTAAGTATTCCATGCAATGGCTATTTCATTCATGAGTTTGTAGGAATTCTGTTGGAACCCAGTTCTGATCAAGTACGAAGTTATTGAAATCGGCGCAGTCGGACTTTACTCCGAAAGATGGTTTTTCGATTATAACTTTTTACAACATTTAAGTATAGACTTTTGAAAAAAGTACAGAATAGTCCTTATACTATTGAATGATTCTGTTATTTCTGATTCACACGGCTCTGATTTGTTTAATTAAAAAAAGTTTTAAAAATATTACTTAGGAACGTAACCGGAGTTGGGAACGTAACCGGAGCAGATCTAGATCAGTTGAATTATATAATTTAAAAAAATAAAATATATGATTTAAAGCATATATATTAATAAATACGCATTCGAACAATCCCGTATGTTTTTAAATTAGTATATGTGCTTTAAATCATATATTTTAATTTTTTTGATTAAATAATTCAACTGATCTGCTCCGGTTACGTTCCCAGCTCCGGTTACGTTCCTAAGTAATATTTTTAAAACTTTTTTTTTAATTAAACAAATCAGAGTCGTGTGAATCAGAAATAACAGAATTATTCAAAAGTATAAGGACTATTCTGTACTTTTTTCAAAAGTTTATACTTAAATGTTGTGAAAAGTTATAATCGAAAAACCATCTTTTGGAGTAAAGTCCGTCTGTGCCGATTTCAATAACTTCGTACTTGATCAGAACTGGGTTCCAACAGAATTCCTACAAACTCATGAATGAAATAGTTATTGCATGGAATACTTACTTTTGTCAAAATCAAAATAGAACTCTAGTTAAAAAATATATTGTGCTAAATTATTGCCATTTCTTAGTAAAATGTCGTTCTCCGGTACGTTGCCAAAATTATTCGATGGTACCCCGTGGTTCTACTAATAGAGATTCATATAACATTAAGTCAGTCCTCAGATTCGGAAGTGTTCTACTTACAGAGGTTTTCCACTTAAAAGGTTTGACTGTACTTGTCTTAAAATGTTGAAAATCATGGCGGAGAATTATCCATTTCATTTTATTTATTTATTTTTTAATTGGATTTTTACACCTCAAATAAAAACTCGCCTGTTGCCTGGTAAAATCTTGCTAACAAGATTTTACAAGAATTGAGGGAAGAATCAGAAAAAAATCAAAACTTGTCCAATATATGACCGAAAATCCATAACATTTTCACAAGAATGATGGTTCCCATCAAAATCGGTCATTCTAATCGTACAGTTTGTGTCACTTTACTTTTCCGAAGGCAGTAAAGCTCAGTATCGATACCCCATCACCCCCAAAATTGATTGATTGAGTTTCTAAACTGACATTGATCTTTTGATGCCTTTTATTAATTACATTTTAATAGGCAATGTGTTCAAAAGCTGTTTCTTCAATTTGAATATTTTGGGTTTTGAAATCTGTGCTCAGAATCAGCATGTATTTTGAATTTATATCAATTTGAGCAATGAGTAATACTTGCATTGCAGGGTTTGAGTGCCAGAACGGAGGAACACGAATACTAGGCAGTTGTCAATGTGTTAATGGTTACTATGGCAACCGTTGTGAATTCATCATAAAAGGTAGTTGTTATTTCTACTAAACATTCAAAAAGGAAACAATACTGTATAAGTGGTATTTAATATGAATGGTTAATTTGCCGAATGGTCAAATTTTATCATTCTCCTAATTTCAATTTTCCTAATGATATCCATTGGATAACATTATGAAGATAATATCTCTGACATTTAATTTTCCTAACCTGGCAAAAATTAGGCAATAGACAAATTAAATGATTAGGCAAAATTACCATTTATACAGTATAGCAAATCAGCTTTAAAATTGGTCATCACTTTGTTGTCTTATTTCAGATTGTACTGAGATGAAACTATATATTAAAAAGAATAGTGGATATTTCTGGGCACAACTGGCAGGGTTTGATAACCCTTACCAAATATTCTGTTCCCATACTTTGATGAGGGTCTACCTTAAAAATCGGTTCTATGATGCTACTCTCTATAACCTCACCTGGCAACAGTACAAACAAGGGTACAACGAAACCCCCTTAGTGAACTCTTTTATTGGCCTTGATAACCTGCACAAGCTTACCACAAATCGAGCACATGAACTCCAGGTAAGTCACCCTAAATATTCACTGCAGACTGCATGAGTGATGATCCCACAATGTACTTTGACTTTTACTGGGCAAAAGTAAACAACTTAGTGTATTTATTACATGTACATGTAAATAATAAGAACCATTCTGTATCCTTCATATATATTAACTAAATGGTTATTTTGTTTAGGTGCTTTTACAGCCTTGTTTTCATATATATTAACTAAATGGTATATATTATGGTTAGGTGCGTTACAGCCTTGTTTTCATATATATTAACTAAATGGTATATACTATGGTTAGGTGCGTTACAGCCTTGTTTTCATATATATTAACTAAATGGTATATATTATGTTTAGGTGCGTACACAGCTTTGTTTTCATATCTTAACTAAATGGTATATATTATGTTTATGTGCGTACACAGCTTTGTTTTCATATACAAGTATTAACTAAATGGTATATATTTTGTTTAGGTGCGTATACAGCCTTGTTTTGGGGGTCTCTGTCCGGTCTATTTGTACTACTTTGCTAGTATCAATGTTTCTTCGGAGTCTGATGGATATCAACTGAACATTGGGCCAATCAGTTCACAACGTTGCGCAAATCACCACTGCCCAAATGATACAGTATGGGAACCATATGCTAAATCTGCTAATCCACTTGAAGCAATGAATGGGATGAAGTTCTCTACAGTGGATGTTGATAACGACATATCCAACAGCACACACTGTGCAGAAGAGTATGGAGGGGGATGGTGGTATAAGGACTGTGCACGATGTGGAATGAATGCTACTGACATCATACCTACATATCCAGGCACAGAGCATATATGTTTACCAGAGGTTATATACAAGACATGCTCACATCCCTACTGTCAGCGTGTAAAAGTAACATTATATATTAAGATAAATTAAGTATATCCCAAGATAAGATGGTCAATTTTGAACATATCTCACCATGCATCTGTATGGCAAACAACTATTTGGGAAGCATGGATCCAATGCGAGTAAAGTTATTATATGGAGCTTGAAATTGTCCTTTGTGGTAATTTAAGCAATTCAGAGCATAGTGAACATCTTGAATAATGGATTTGAAACAATTGTACGTACATTGGAATGCATTTAAAGGGCCATTCCTTGCCAGACCATTTCTCTCTTGATATGGTAGCTATAACCATATACATGTACATATACTCGTATATATGTGGTATATAATTATATATATACATTCCATGTTAAGCAAAATAGATGCGACTAGATGCGAGTAGATATAATCTTGATTTATGTCATTAAATATTCAAAATTCAGTCAAAGTGATATCATATTTGAAATCTACAAGTAAAAGTACATCTAGAAATATGGTTTTTTTGAAAATGTGATTTCCAGTTTGGGGAGATTCCCCATAGGGCCCATGTTATAAACACAGGCTGATATCGAAAGATTTGTCCGCTGTGACGGAGCATGCTATTTTTCATAAAAACACTAAGAATGCTTCACGATTTATTTTTTAACTCATATGTTTCGTTATATCAAAGATAATTGCTTACTCCATGCAATGGATATATCATTTGCGTGTAACCTTCATAGTTATGCTGAAACTGTGTGTAAATATTATCGTGTCACTATATCGTGCCATTAGAAAGTTAAACAAGAAATGGTACATTTTGAAGTATGATACTCCAGCGCCATTTTCAATAGCTTTTCTTCCCAGCGTAATTGGACTTCAAACAGAAGTGAAAGTTACCCGCAAATGATATATCCATTGCATGGAGTAAGTAATTTTGTATGGTATAACGAAACATATGAGTTAAAAAATAAATCGTGAAGTATTCTTAGTGATTTATGAAAAATAGCATGCTCCGTCACAGCGGACAAATATTTCGATACCAGCCTGTGATAAAATCACAAAAAATTAAATATCTTTTCTTGTGTTGGACAGATAACATTTTCTTTAGCTGGACATATTTTGATTTGCATAAGTATTAGATACATGATGGTGATATGAAAATTGAACCGCTAAAACAGATGAATATTAAGTTTAAGGGAACTTTCTCCTATACCCGCCATGCTATCTGACCCGAAAGAGCCACCTGGTGGTGAGACTGGTAACTACCTACTCGCATCTGAGTCATTGTAGTGCTCATTTCCAGTAAGCTGCCATCTTTTAAGCTTTCATACATAAAATGATGTCATCGATTCTCATCTTGTATAACCTTGTCTATAACAGCATAGGAAAGTAGCACAAAATCACTTCTAGACAAGTGGTGCTTACTTTCTGAGCAAAGATATTTTCAGGGCTTGTCAACTTAGAAGAAGAGATTTTCAGAAGGATGAAATCTTTATATGAAGCCTTTAACAGTTTAAGTAAACTTATTCTTAAAAATGTATACATGTGTGTATACAGGGTGTTCCGAGGGTATGGTATCCCCCATAGGCAGACCTATACCATTGTCTCCATAGTATGTGTCAAATATCATTTTAAGCTAATCCAAAGTTACATTGATTTGCCAAGTATCATGGTTCAACTCAAATGGGAAAAAGTTATAGGCATTTTAAAACTTAGTGTTTGGTGAAAATTGAAGTTCAGTTCAGTATCCTGAAAAAAAACCTGACCTGAATGTGACCAAAAATATGGGTGCTATCGTCAAAGATAGAATGGATAGAGTCGGGAAAAGAGAATGGTAAAGGCAGATACTCCAATGGAACTCTTCTAAAATGCCTTAAAAAGGTTTTATGAGGATTACAAAACCCCACACCCCTATTTGAACTGGTTTAAGGACATGTCTGAAAAGAATTGCTACTGTGAATATGGCCAAGGGACACACACACTTTTAATTTGGTGTAAAACTGAACTTAAATTTTGGCCAAACACCTAATTTCAAAATACCTGTAACCTTTTCCCATTTTTCCCATTTGTAAGTTGAACCATGATACTTGGTCAAATCAATGTAGCTTTAGATAAGCTTTATAATGATATATGACACATACTATGGAGACATTGGTATATGTCTACCCAAGCGGGACCCATACTTTTGGGACACTCTGTAGATATTGGTTGGTACATGTTGACTAACCTGGACTATTTATGTACATGTGTATAGGTTTTCTGTCACTGTCTGACTGTAGGAAGAGCAGCTGAGCAACCACTAGACTTGCAGTGTCATCTGTTATCTAAAAAAGTGTATGACGATTAAGTCCACTGTTAAACAATATGCACTATGTGGCAGGTCAGGAGTAATACCCCATAGCATCTCTTTTAACAAAAGTGATGCTTGAAAACCATGTATCATCTCAAAATCAACTTTTTGCATCTTTTTTAAAACTTATTTTAGAGTGATAAAATGTGAATTTGATATGTCATTTTTTTATCTTAGTAAATTCAGTTGGAGCACATACTTAAATTCTCAAGAATGTGTTGTGAAGAAACCCATGTTAATCCAAAATGAAAAAAAAATTTAATGTAATGAGCTAAAAGTGAGACTTATAGATCTTTTTAAGTGATTCATTTCTAATAACTGGTACTGTATAATGTACATGGAGTTCATGTACTAAAGTAGTAATTAATTGAAACAATCATGTGTCATACGACAATTTAAAAGTAGTGCCAGACATATAGAGCGACTTTGACAAAAACTGACTCTTATTAAGTATTTGTTTTCCTCATATCATTCCTTGCAACCTTTTTTCTACATGTCTCAAAAAAGTTCATAGTACATATGTATGCAACGAAATACAGATATTTCAACATTTCTTTCTCAAAAACATAATGTGGATAATTCTTATCTCCCAACTGACAACCTTCACATTCTTCATGAAATTCCAGATTTGTTCATCTCAAATCTGAAAGAACTTCATCATTTCAAATCATCTCTTTTTCAAATACTATATTTTGAAATATAGGGACTGGTTGAAACATCTTAAATTTTCCTTAAAATTTTGTCATCCTCTACATGTCTGGTACTAGGCTTAATGAAATAAATATAGAAGTTAGTTTTTATCTTATATTTTGCCATATAATAAATAACACTGAACAAATGTCCATTTATTTTGTCCAATAACGTGCTATATTCCAAATGCAGCACTGAGTCACACCGGAATAGCCTGACTACGGTAAAGTCAGATTAACTGTTATCACAAATGGCAGACATAACCGTCGCTTCAACTGTTTAGTCTGTTTAATCACTTGGTCCTCATTTCATGGGATATTATCGTCGCTAATTATGTGCATGGATTAAGCTCTTGTGATAATGTATCATATGAAATCCCATTTTTGATCAAATTGGGTTGTGAATCGCCACAATATAGCGTCTTCAATATCGTCAATGACAACGGAATCTGAATTTGAGTAATTCAGAAAGACAACGGCATATGGTAATTACAGTGTCCGTTGTCCCGTATCTCATTTTGATCGGTTAAATTAAAGACTTTATTTCGATGGTAGAACATCATTAACTGTACAATGAGTATTAGACTCTTTGATTGATTAATGTTTCAAAGGAATTTAGTCTAGGTGCTCTATTAAACAAACAGTTCATGAAAATCTAATCGAAGTGACGGTTATATCCGCCATTTGTGACAACGCTATCTGACTTTACCGTTGTTAGGCTATTCCGGGGTGTGAGTGCAGCTAAACTTTACTCAAGTCTTTTGCTTTCAACAGAAGTGTATAAATTGTCTTGAATGGTCCTTTTTCAATATAGCTTTTAAATCTTGTTTAAGTCACGTTTTTAATGAGATTTTAGAAGATCTGTATTTATAACTATTAAAGACAAACATTTTCTTCTATTTGATGGCATATTTGAATTTTCTATCAAAACAATGTTTCATTACTGTTATAAGGATCATAATTATAATGTGAAATCACAATCCAAATGTCAATAAGATCATATAGTTACATTCCAAAAGTGTTTTAAGTTGAGCCAAATGGAATTACTTATTAGACCATGTAATTAAGTGACTCTTCCCAATACATTACCAATTACCATGTATTCAAGCATTTCTAGCCTGCTACTAACACCCATGATGCCATCTATTTTCCCATTTATATGGAAAACGGTTAATTTATAATCCTGTATTCTATAAAATAATTCTATGTAATATTCCCAATGTGTTTTCATAGAAGCAAATAATACTGACAGATCAATGAAAGCAACAAGAAACTTTAACTTACTGGTCCCATGACACAAATGATGCGATCTTTCAGTAACCTGGAATATATATCATAGGCTCTCTCTCCTCGTCCTGTCTGTTCAATCACCATAGGAATCAATGGACTCATACATTGTGCAGTGTGATGTATCTCACGACCCTGTGAACATGTTGCAGTTAGCAACTTACCAAGCCCCTGGAAATATTTAAATACTTCATAATTCTCAACTGGTATAAACTTCTTACACCAAGTAGAGTAGATCTTATGAATAGTATGGTAAACAATAACCATTAAATTTGTCATAATTAACTAATTACTAGTAGAAGTGATAAATGTTGATAAATGACCATCATGATAAACCATGACATCTCTGAGATCATGTTCAATTGAAAATTAGCTTACACTAAGCCCCTATCAGGCAAATCCCTTGAATGTCCCGCGATATCCCGCAAATTTAAGTGGATATCCCGCAAATTTAAGGCATTTTGTCTAAAAAATCTATCCCTCTATGAAGTCTTTGGTGGTTACCCTGTTTAACTGTCCCTAAATTAGCTTGTTTGTCCCTCGAAAAGTCCCACGTAGCCTTGTAGAAGGCTTTAGCATTTGTTGATTTTAAAAATTTGGATATTTGTTTCCAAATGTAAAGCCCTGCAACATCCCCATTGGAAAACACTCGATTTCATCTGCGATAAATTACATGTAATTTGTAAGATAAATACTACTTAATACTTTGTGATATTTCCGTGCTCAACTCAAAGAATACCACTGTTTCTACCATCCTGCTATGTCAATCTGTATCCTAAATAATAACTAGAGTCATAAAATGAATTTCTTTCCGAGTTACATTTTCAGATGTCTTTCTTCCTTCCCGACATATTGTTAATATGTAGCAATTGGTAATTTCCGGATAGTTCATTTGAATATGTTGAAGAATGGAAATCAAGAACGGAAAATGATCATAGCTTTACTAGATTAAGACAAATACAAAACAATCTAGAACCAAACTATGGCTGTACTCAAGAAAGATTCCTGGTCTTCTTAAATATGCAACTGTTATAGCAAAGTTTCTAACTATTCCACTAGACCCAAATAAACCTGAGCTTTGTGAATATTGTGGAGCACTAGAGGGAGACATTATCTCACACAGAGCAGCAATGTGCACAGAAACTGCTCCAGAACGAAACAATATGCTAAATAGAATCACTGTGGCTACAGGTCAGTCTGAAGCTGGGATTTTTCTCAGAGAATTCGTTATTCAGTGAAAGGCATTTCTTGTTTTAGCGACTGTGTTAATTTGAAAACGATAAACATAGTGTTGCCTTACTTTAGCAATATAATTAAAAACTCTAATGTAGAATTAAACACACCATTCCAATAAGCTATAACTGTTGAGTTATGACGTGCAATTAAAACCCCAGAGGTGCAATTTTTTACTTGCTTTTAACTTTGTAAACTTTTATTTTTATTTGTTTTGTTTATATTTTGTTCTTTCTTTATTACGTGTATAAATGTTGTATAAGTTTTGGTTATTGTTGTATTGTTTGATTGATTTATGTTTACATGTTTAATCCATTTTATTATGGGAATAAAAGCGACATAATAATAATAAAGCGGCTACAAGGCTAGGTAAAATCGTGCAAATTATATTTGATCAAAATTTGGCCTATCCTATTAGTGGAATCATGTAAATCCCTTAAATCTCCCGCGAAATCCCGTTAATTTAGTTGGATGTCACACAAAATCTCACAAATTTTGGGCACTGGGCCCAAGAAATCTGTCCCGCAAGAAAATCTTTGGGGGTTGACAGTACTGGATGAAAAAACAGATGAAGCACAAGAATGGCAACTATCAAAAAGTAAGTTCAATTTTCTATTCTTTGGAGACATTACACTATCAGATTCTATGTTCGCCGTTGTCGGAAAGTTTCATAATCTGTAATTTTTGAATGAAACTGGAGTCCCACTGAAAATCAAAAACACTAAAAACCATGATAAGAAGAGCAAAAGTAAGATCAGTGGTATAGAAGCAAAGAAAAGTTGTAGGTGTTCTATACATAGGTGTTTACTTACGCTTATAGACCGTCTAAGCATGGTTTAAAACAAATATTAATAATTTTGTAACTTTCTTTGCAAAATGGGCGATAATAAGTGAAGTTCTAAAGTCACGTAATATCACGAGAGATCTCGTGGCTACCAAGTATGGCTGACGCGGATAAACAAAATATGAAGAAACACTCTTTTCACTTATAGTGAATTATTGTTGCATTGCGGAGAGTGAGTAACTCAAATTATACTTAAAATGCATGTTGTATAGTTCAGGCACACACTGCTATTACATTTTTATAATCTGGTGTTGTCATGTCGACGTTATTGATAGAAGAATACTTTCAAATTTTCAGACCAGTGAAAATATTCAGAAATATTTTCAATTTTCTTCAATACTTCATTATCAAGACTTGGAAAGATCAATTTAATTTATATTATTCAGCAATAAGATCATCTTACTGACTGAATAATATAATAATTGATTTATATCTACTTTGACTTGCAATACAAGTTGTGGTTTAGTTTCTAGCACAGGGGTTTCTAGTTACTATAGTAACTTATGTAGGCTACCCATATATTTACTAAGGGCAATCTACAACTGATTCAGTTCTTTGATCGGTTCTCTGCGCGTATTTTCTGCGCATCTCAAATTTGATTGGTTGCTTTTTATTGTACATGCGCAATGTTACTCACTTTGAGAGCCATGTTAGATTTTGAAACTTATCAAAATCCACATAACTTTTGCAGGAAGTAAGCGCGATGTTGATAGAAAAAAACATGATAGAATTTACCCAGAAGACATTATGTTCTCAGTTTGGGCCCTTTTGCCACATTAATATAAAGCAAATTAATATGTTTCGCCCATACATTTAATTTTTATGTATTTGCCGCCGCAGTCTATCATCATCCTGAATATTCAACATACAGAATGACCAGTACTCGTACAAAAGTGTATGATGGATTATTGAAGGTTTAATTACTACCTGGGATTGTGGATGTACATGTTAGGAAGGTCCTAAATTATTAAATAGTTTTGTTCACAACATTAATGATGGTGATTGGACTATAATGGGACACTGCAAGGTATCATTGGAAGCACCTTTCATTGTTGCGCATGCGTAAAAGTGAACCGAATCAGTTAAAGATTGCTATAGATCCTATAGAGGCTAAAAGTGTTCATATTAGTTCAAATCTTTTTGATTGCTATTTTGAATTTACAATTTGGGTGACCTGGTGATTTTAATTTTAGACAAAAGCTGGGCGAAAGTTGATGTAATTTCAGTCGATGAACTATTCTCATACCAATTTTTAAAATACCATTACAACATGGTGGTCCACAGGCCATGATTTCTAGCCAAGTTATTGGGTAGCAACTCAAGTAAGATTATATGCATGCACTTATCCTTGATACAATTTAAGTTTGACTTAGTTTTGTAACTTGGCCTATTTTAAAGAAATGACATCCAAATATGAAAAATATTATGAAAGTCAGAAGAAAAGTATGTATCTTCCATTGCAATAACTGCGCCCCCCCCCCCCCTTGTCTTTATCCTTCCAAAGTGAAAAAAAATATTATGTGAGCCCTCTGAATGGTTATCCATGTTGTTATGTCACCACCAGAAGTGGTGACATAATGTTATAGTCTCCAACTTTTTTGTAGATGGTGCTGTTTGGCAGTTAGTTTTTGGCATCTGTAACAAATAGTAGGTGGTGACATTTTGCATGTTAATGCCTTGTTATTGCTAGTTTCACTTATTGAATTACACTCCATGTTTCCAGATAAAACATTGACATTACAATACTTGAGGCAATAAAGATGGAAGTTACAGAAGAACCTGAGCAATTTACTCCCACTAATGACTCAATGGAGACTTACCAAGATGATAACACACCTGGTTGGTAAGTATAGGAACACATGTACAATTCAAAAATGTGTGTGAGACCCCCTGCCCCCACATGGGGAACAATAGGAATTTGACACACAGTATTGTCCCAGGGGGTGGGATTTCGATAAAATTTGACTCATTATGTTTTGCTTTAGAGCTTATGAAAATCTTAATAGAGATCATTCATCTCACCTGAAATGGGGGCCATAAAACTAATTAAGATTATGACACAATGACAACTAATGGCAGCGGCAATAGAATACTATTTAGCACCTTGTAATATTTCAACATTTAGGGCAACAATTTAACTATCACAATTAGATTGTTGACTCCTCCCATCCAATGATATCAAAAATGTACAAAATGTAGCAAAATTAGAGCATATTTCTCAAAACAGGAAGATTTGAAGAGTATCAGAATAGTTGCTTGCAGGCTAGGGAATTTGCAATCTAAATTTTTGTCAAAATCCGCACCTGTTTCTGCATGGGGTCGTCTCACAAACCTTTGTGTGGTTCATATTAGAATAAAACCTATAGAGTATGTATGTATAATGTGTTCAGTCTGAGGTAAAAGCAAATATTACATCATACATTAATTGAATTAAGAAACAGATATCAGTATAAAATTAATTTTTATTACAGGACAAAGTCTAACATTGAAGGAGATGTAAACTTTGACACCCCTGGCACAGAAGAAGGAATGTATGATGATATACCCGAGGATGCGGATGGCATATTCTCTTATGATAGTGATCCCAATGACAATTTAGCCGACAGTGGCTCAGATTGTGAAGTGTGTAACAAGTAAGTTAAGATATGTGACCATGACACATCAAATTCTTTCCATTCTATAAAGATTGGAATGGGTCATCTTACAAAATGCATGAATACAGGGTGTTCCAAAAATACCAGCACCAGTCCTATTACTTTTGGAAAACCCTGTATGTAAGCATAGGAGCCAAGGAAAGAATAAAGAGAAAATTACAAAACACGACTGCAAGAAAAAGGAAAGAGTCAAACAATACCTCAGTATCCCAAACTATGATCTAACATGAAGAAGCAATGTCTAACACCCCTCTCGCACCAAGACATGGAATTAAGAACAAATGAAAACAATATTCACTATCATCCTAGCATTTCATCCCCTATGTGCTTTATATCTTCCCTCATCCAATATATCATCTTCATCACCAATTAAAGAAATGTACAATCGCAATCAATTTTCAAAAAGAGGTCATCGCAGGTTGGGATTCTATACTCATTTGAATGATATTCCTCAGAGATATATTAACAGAAATCTCTCATGATAAACCCATGGTCAGCATGATCTGATAACCTCAGTCAGATATCATATGGTCCCTCCATGTGCATAACATCTATCTAATGCAGTAGTTTATCACACTATACCTCAACTTTTAATTCGTGAATATTGATTTAATGTTTCCATTTAATTTTTGTAGCAATATAGATGGCGACCATCCTAAAACTCCAGATCAGAAATTCACACGCCAGGAACAGTTACGCATGATGCATCTCCGTAAATACCTTGATCAGCTCACGGAGAAAGTACTCAAGAAAGATTATGCGGTTCAAAAAACTAGGTATGTTATGCATGGTGTTTTTTCAGATAGATGTCTCACAATTTGATAATCCATTTGATTAATATGTAGAACCATTTTATCACAGACTTATAAAACAATTTTCCAAGGTTTGAAAATTCATTTATTGTTTGCGATTTGAAGGTGCAATAATTACACATTTCAATCTTGGTTAGATTATGATTTTATACCTCAGGACAAATGCAACATTAATTAATTCACTGTTAAATAGATGTCACTGGATTAAATGCAATGATTTACCTGTGTTCCAAATGGGCCTCGTTCCAGGCCTCATCTAAACATTTGCTGTGCTAAAAGGGATGACTTTCGGGCCTTTTAACTGTGTTGAGTGAAATTAATTCATGTGGACAATGATATGCACATACATGTTTGGTCTACTTTACAACCCAAATCCGGAATGATGAGTAGAATTAATCTTCATTTTCATCATTACTTTTTCAAAATTCAGTCAAAGTAACATATTTTAATTATTTTACTGAATGCATTGAAATGGTATGTAATGATCAAACTCAAAAAAGTTAGATGGCACTTCATCCAATAAATTTTTTGATTGTATGATCTGTAAAATGAAGCCCTCTGATTGGTCAGTTCTTGTGCTGTACCATTCTGTATTGCAGAGCTGTCAAGTGTCCCGCGAATGGCGGGATTTTCCCGCGAATTTGATCAAAATTTGGCTAATTCGCGTGTCCCGCAATGTCCCGCAAATGTCGGCTTTAACCTCCGCGAATTTTCAAAATTGTAACAATCCCCGAGGCTAAATAATTGTGACTATCTTGTGATATGAGAAGCTAAGTTTTTTCGCTTTTGAGGAGTAAAGTTTACCTAATATGAAAAGTGCTGCAAAACTCCTAGTGCATCGATCATCGAAGACTGCTTTTGGAAAGGGCATACATATACTGTGATTTTGATCCAAATAACACCATAGTTGGCTTATCAAGTACCTAGTATGCCCTTATTTGGTATCCAAATAAAGAGGAAGAGAGTGCATTTTCATTTTAATTACGAAAATTGGGATGTTTGTCACGAATAGTTCCAACGTTGGCCTTTTTACTACGCGTGTCACAGCGTGGCAAAGCCTTCATCTCATTGAGCAAATGTTAGCAAACGCGAGTTCCAATAAATGGACAATGATATTTCGAAAAGAAACCTGACTCTCTATAATTTGATGTAGATTAATCGAACCCCTATATGAATAGGTACATTTTAATATATAACACTATGGGGGGGAGGGGGGGGGTAAATGTTTCATAGTAGGTCACGAACGCCATAAGTGCAAAGTATTGTTCAGAATTTTTGAATTTCGTGTTGGATTACGTCACACCTAAAGCGTGTTTTTTGATAGTTTAATAATATTTCTATGCGTATTGTGTAGAATTGTGTTGACGTTTACTAAAGTTAAGTGCATTATATTTGATAAATCAGTATCTGAAAGTTGATTTGAGTACTTTTACATTAAGCCCCAATCACGCAAATCCCTTGAATGTCCTGCGGCATCCCGCAAATTTAGGTGGATGTCCCGCAAAATCCCGCGAATTTAGGGCACTTTGTCTTTAAAAATCTGTCCCTCTATGAAGTCTTTGGTGGTTACCCTGTTAACTGTTCCGTAATTAGCGTGCTTGTCTTTCGAATGGTCCCGCGAAATCCCGCTAATTTGATCAAAATTTAGCGCAATCACGCGAATCCCTTAAATGTCCCGCGAAATCCCGCGAATTTAGGTGGATGTCCCGCAAAATCCCGCAAATTCTTGGCACTGGGTCTAAAAAATCTGTCCCGCGAGAAAATCTTTGGGGGTTGACAGTACTGGTATTGCTACTGAGATTGTCCCGGTTGATCATCTCCTTCGCAATACAGAAAATATTGTTACAGAGTGGACAATCTCAGTAGCAATACAGAGGACCACACGATAAGAACAATATTGAATGATTTGAAGTGCAATACAGGATATATTCTGTCTCGATATTTTGTGAATAATAATCTTATCCAAATCTTATCCAAAAGGGTGACTTTCTGTATGGTTGAATGTTTACTGACAATTCAGAAATATTAAATAATACAAATATTTGCAAACATCCATCATTTTATTATGAATACTTGCAGCACAATACATGTCTCCATCTGTTATTAATTACAATTAAATGTACCATACTTCATCACTTGGATAAATACTTGCACTGTTTATTAGGAATACATGCACTACCGTTACTATAATCAGTATATACCCACATGTGCAGTGGGAATCTATAAGCTCAGAGCAATGTTAGTCTGCTGTCTCATATTATAATACACCAACATCGTCATGATTATTATATTGATAAAGCAATGCTAGAAATTGATTCCTTTACAACATTGTAAATCATTGGCCATGTTAATATGTATTGATTAACACTAAACATTGAATACTCATTCTCATCAACACATGTTGTATGCACTACAAACTACTTAGACCATCTTACATAATAATAAGGCATATACTTAACATAAAATACACGCAGTGTTCCTTAAAAATAATTTGACTTTAGTTTTGCATGTACATTGTAGTCTGCAGTATTGAGAAAACCTTTACATTTTTTCAGATCTGAGTTAAAAAATCAATTTTTACTTTCATTTTCATCAGAGCATCTGTAAATTGAACACTGTATGCAAAGCATTTTAAATGCAAATCAGCTATGCTCAAAATGATCATAATTGGACGAACAAAAATCAGCTAAAAAAGCTTGGAGCATTTTGCTAATGCACATGTATTCATCTTGCTCTGATGTGCATTTGCATAAGGTATATGTTTCTTGTACATGCATTATATACGGTATGTTGTTTCTTGACTTCCTGCACTCATTTTGGAGTTTAGTATTTTAGCTTACTTATTGAATCATTCTCCTCTTATACTGAACCTGTTCAACTAAAGATTAAAAAAAATCGAAATAGAATTTTCTAGAATAATTTGGCGCAATATAGAAGTTCACACTTTTATAATGTCTAATCCATTACCATTTATCTGACATTATATTAGCATGGTGATAGAAATTGAAGATAATCTCTAGTTTAAAATATTTTACATCAAAATCATGTTTCATAATAGTTGCCATAAGTAGGCAGTATTGTTCACTTCAGAGAGGGTGATTTTCTGAATGCTCTTCACTATTAATAGTTAATTATTAGTAGTTTTATTTGCCAATAACTAGATAATAAATCTCGGTGCATCACTTCTGTCCGGTATCACCTTCATATAGGCACTGTTAATAAAATCTCACTATTGTTACATGTATTTATAAGCTTTTATGCAATGATTCCCAGAATCTGCAACAATGGTATGATTAGGTGGCGCTATTGCCAGTCCCCTGGGCCACATCATACGTTCACTTGTGCTCTCTAACTGTCCTACAAAGGTCCCTTCCATTGTGAACACCTTAACACTTGAGTCAGACCAATCACACACCAAGACATGGCCGTGAGGGTCAGCAGCGACTCCATTAGGACTCTTCAGCTGGAACTTATCATTGCCATTAAACTGGTTTAAAAATGTGCCATCTTTGGTTAAAACTTGTATTCGGTGGTTATCAGAATCTGAGACTATAATCTCATCATTGGGGCCTACACACACTGCCTTTGGGAGCCTGAATTGTCCTGGGATTGACCCACCTCCTGTTTTACCTATAGTCTTCAGCACAGATCCTTTCCTCGTAAGGATGAAGATTTTGTGTTGGGCAAGGTCTGATGCAATGATATGTTGCAAGCTGTTGATAGCAACACCATGGACTTGTTTTAAGGATTTACTACTCACTTGCTGTAGGAGATGCCCCTGTGGCCCATAGAATGTTATTGTGTTGCATGATTTCAAGTTCCACATGTTCTGCTTGTATACATAGATGGCCTTGTTGCATACTAGTTCATTAAGGCCAGTTGCAACTAAGGCACTTGCAGTAATCATTTCTGTTTGGCTTATTCGCTTACCTATTGGAAATGAGTGGAGGTAATCTCCGGATGCTCCAAACCACTGCACAGTATGATTTCCAAAATCTGCAACAAATATGTCGCCGTTTTTGCCTACAGCAACTGCTGCAGGGCCATCAAACTTCTTTGGCCCAATCCCCTGTTCTCCTACTTTCAACAGTGGATTATTTGGCTTCACTGTAAATGGGTTTTCAATCCGACTTGTGGTCTTCCCTTTGAAGTCTATGAACAGTTTATGTTTGCCACTCTTCATTGGCCTAAAGTGAAGATAGTATGCATCGTTACCTTCAGTGACTCTACTCTTGACATGTTCACCATTGGAATCCTTTATCATAACATTGATCTTTGCACCTTCTGGTAGGACCAGCTTGATGGAAGTAGCAAGGCAGGCTGTGGGGGGTTTGGCCTGGATTGCCACAAACCTTCCCAGGTCTTTTACAGTAGTATCAAATAGCTCCTTACTAGTGGAAGCATCGAGTTGTAGAGAGTGTTTAGAATGCTGCCTCCTAGCAGCCTTACGTAATGCATCGGTCATATCATTTAGTGCGAGAGCATTGCTGGTTGTGTTAGATAAGATCTCATCTAAGATATTGTTCTGTAGTGCTGTGTTGGAGTTCTTCATTGCAATGTTAACATGGGTCGATAACTCCTTTATTTGGTTGAGATCACTCTGTACTGCCTCAGATTGACTCCCATATACTGCTTTGATTTTATCCTTAATTATCTGACGTTGATTTTGGAGCTTTTGTTCAAATTCATCAAACAGGTCATTAATGCTTTGTGTCATTGACAGTTCAGTTGTAGCCATGTTGCTTAGCTCATTGCGTAGGCTAGTTATAGTATCATCAGCATCTACAACAACCTGCGAGGCTTGCCCTATCTGTTCCTGAAGGGTATGTTTGTTGTCAATAAGAGCTTGTTTTGTTTCAATAATCACATGTCCCTGTGTCTCATTATGTGCTCTTGCTGTGCAGTCTCTGCACACTGTCTCATTGCATGTCTTACAGAATAACACCAGTCGTCTATCTGGGTGGACCTTGCAGTAATCTCCACCACCTTTCTTCTGTCTCTGTAAAGACTTTATATACACAATATAATAGTTTGTTTGTAATTCATCAATGCCTCTCTCTCCCATGACAATCTTCTTACGACATGATGGGCAGTGGATAAAGTTCTTCGTGCCCAGTAGTCGTACAAGGCATGTCTTGCAATAGCTGTGGCCATGTTGGCATGGGAGGAGCTTAGGCTGGTGCTCTCTGTCATCGTAGTCATGCATACATATCGAACAGGAGCTGAAGCTACCTCCTTCCTCTGCAACATCGGGGGAAAGTCTGCTCATTTCGTCACATCAGATCTTGACCTAGAAATACATATAATCATAAAATTACAATTTGGTAGAATATTTCTGTATGTCATTAAATCTATATCAAAAAGTCAGTTGTTATCAATATGCTGATAAAGAAGATTATGTACATATTAGCATTTTCTAAAGATATTATTTTTATCCATCCTTCATCTGTGTGCTATATGCTTGTTGAGTGTATACTCCATACCTTGCAGTGATAGACTGCTTCAACAACAAACTCAATATTATCATTTATATATACTGCAGATGGATATAACATTAATAGCTGATGGCTTCTACTGTCTCATTATTTAGACATGATCCAGTGCTGCCTGTATTAATAATTGTGTGGTTTCATATTGTGTATGAGACTATTTAATACCTGTATGATTAATCTTGATTTTATGTGTCTATGTTCTCATATGTCATTCCTAGCTTCTAGGTTTACTTTTATACTCTGAATACATAGTATCACAGTCTACACCCACTAGAAAGAATCACGATTATTTGATCAGTTTTTTCATCTATAGACTCTTGTTTACAAAGACTCTTTTATTTTTGACAAATATGTGTACAGTAACTCAATTCAGTAAAAAATTAGAAAGATATGTTGTATTGAGATATGGCACAGCGACCTTATGGGGTATGGTTTTATTCAGTTTTATTCTTAGAGCAAGTTTACCATTCATGAAAGTTTGATTAGAAAAAGTTTAAGTTTATTTGCATTTTACGAGGATACCAGTGCAAATTATTCTTAATATTGTTGAATATAGTGCCGGATAATTGGGTGATCAGATGCCTCACTGATTTTGGTTTTCTATCAAATACCTCTCATTCATTATATAAATTGCAATAATGAGGCAGGCAAGCAGAACTGTCACATGTAATATACTTCTCAAGCTGCATAATCCATTGTTAATGGTTATCAGAATTCTAGTCTTGATGGGGCTATGTAATGAAGGTGCACTCTAGTTTATCATGTCCTCTTTGAGAAGGTTGCACTATTCCTTATAATTAGAAATGATTCACCAACCTTTACTGAAATTTTTAAAGAAATGTCAAATGTTGCATTCATCAAAATTATAAGGTTTTAAAGGGATCTTGCTTAGGCTGTTTAAAAAGATTGAATCAAATTTAGTTGTTCTAGACAAATGACAACTTTATATTCTCTCATCAAATGGAATTCAAGGGTATCATTGCTGTTAGTGTATTTGTTATTAAAGTCATACTTTGACGCAATATTGTTGTCTGCTATCATATACCATTTATCATTCATGTCATGTTGATATCACTAGCCATTGTTTTTCCATAATAGGTAGTCAGCTTATACATCACACATCAATTTAGAAGACCTGCTTGATCAATTAATTATTGAAGGGGGATATTTGCCATCGCTTACCATCAATAAAATATATAGTCCCATAACAATAGCACTGCAGATCTGTGTTTTTGCAATGTACAGTTCGGATCAAAATGGTGAGTTCTCACACATCCCGTTGCACTTAAGACATACATATTATACCTGTCCAGTGTATGAATGTTTTCAAGTACATGCACTGCATGATCATAATTTGGTTCATATTTATCCTTTTGTTAAGATCCTGGAACCCACAAAAGGACCCAGTGGCCTCATTAATATTTTGGCAACATTTAGATCTCAACTATATAATGAATTAATTTCAAAGGATTTTGGGGTTTGTTATGATCTGTTATGACAGGTAAAATACTTTAAATCAGGATGTCTTTATAATACTGAACATAACTCCACTTCATTTTTCGTCTACATGCAGAGCTAGATAACCCATGAATATTTTCTCAACTGAATTCAAACTATTCATTAACACATTGATAATTTTCATAGTGTATAACAATTTATGTGAACTCATATTTTCATGGTCTTTCATTTTTGGGATAGAATTTTGTGTAAATGCTTTACGGAATCTATTTCTAAATCAACTTACCACCTTGAATATAATCCTGATTCATCTGTCACAAGTAAATCTCAACATACTCAAATGATTATAAAAACCACAAACCTATCAAATGAAATACCTTTTTTTCCTGCTGTTATAGCCTAATGATCTTATTTGTATCTAAGCTCTGTGTATGTGTACATCCATATGAATTTGAAAACTGAATTTGGTTATAAGTGCTTTATCCTTATTCGTGTTCTCATTTGTATTGACAAAAAAATACCCTAACCTTTTAACCTGGTTTTATAGGTAAATGCGTCCTTATGTGTTTATGTTTTAAGCCTCAGCCAATAGGTAACATTCTATTTGAATTAGTAATAGTTGTATGTTCATTTACATAGGATTTCTTTTATTCAGCATACCTGCTTCCTTTGTATACCAACAAGTACAATTTTGGATTTAAAGATTAGTAGGTTTCATTCCCTAACACTTGATTTAAGACCAAGCTATATACACATAGACTAATCTGTAATTACAGTTTTCTATACAATTTGACTAGAAACCTTACTAATCCATATATCACTGTACTCCTCAAGGGCATACTTACTTTAAATCAATATATGATCTAATTCCCAGGTCTAATTCATTAAACAAATGGATTTGTAAATGTTCTGTAACGGAACAAGATTTATTTTTGGATTAAACATTAGACATGTTCGAGAGAAGCAAATTGCAAACCAAGCACCTGCCATAATGGTAGTGGGTGATATTGGTAGAGAGACTATTGACTCATATATGTCTTAAATTGTAGCATAATTTCTGGTTGTCCAAATGAATTCATATTTGAGTGGAGCAGCTGGGAAGATAAGTGGGTGGAAATCTAGGTCATTCCAACACCATCAAATAAATAAGAAAATGTCCATTGTCCAGTTTATGGATGAAAATCTAGGTCACTGGAACCTTTTATCACTGATATTATGACCATTTTTAAATTTTATTTCAAACTGATATTTTTACAAAATCAGTGCAACCTCAGCTTACACTTAACATAGACATAAGTATTCTTTTATGAATTTGATTATTTGAAATAATATATGTAACATGCTTTTAACGAAACTGATTCATACATTTGTGGTTAACCATCATACCTAATGCATGTGTTGATTGGAGGTATTAAAGGAGTCAGTGAGGCGTGACCAATAAAGATACAAGTAAAATGACCTGGGGTAGATAAGTAATGATCATATTACTTAAAGTGTAACCATATTACCATGTGCATTTCTCATAATAATATGCTGCGAGTCATACTTACCAGTTATATGTGCCAATATATCTCTTATCTCTGTATTCATCTGATTTATATAATTAGACAAAGGCTGCCCATTGGCATTGGTTTAATTATCAAGGGACCAAGCCTGGTCCATAATTTACCTGCTTTGAATAATTCCAAACTAAAATGCCAATTAATCAGATTGGAACAATTTTCAGCTGCAACGAGACCAAAGTAAACTGGAGAGAAACTAACTAAAGAAGGAAACTCAAGAATATGTTACATGTCAGATATCTTAAACATTTTTCTTCTCTGACATGTTTTACAGCCTTGTTCAAGTTCATGATTTTTAGGACGATTATTTTTGTGCATATTTAAAAAACAGTCATGAACCTGCTCAGCCCTCGGGTCACTGTTCTATAATAATTGACACGTCAACTCTGGAACTAACTTAAACATTTATAACTCTTTCAAAAATAAAATGTATTTCCTATGCCTGCAACTGAATATTTTTACTTGAACCTCCAGCTAATAAGTTCCAATGATCATTAATGTCTATTACTTTGGACCATAAAAAAGAACAAAGGAATTCATTGACTTAATTGTGGCTATTGTTTTAGTGTTTCCATTTTGTGTCCCTATTGCTACTCTTTTACATGTACAAATTGTATATGTATTAATTGTCTTTTTAAGAATTGGATTCTGTATCAAACCCTCAGTCTTGTTAAACATTTTCCTCCATACAAATAATGTCTCATTGTGATATTCGCTGAATAAATTGTGACATGGTTCAATAGACTCACTAGAACCTACAGTAGCTTAGATGTATCATACAGGAGTAGATGATTAAGTTGAGGTAACTGAAGTTGTTGGTTGTCCTCCAGGATGAAGAAGAGATCCTTAGTTGTCCCATACAGGCTCTAATAGAATGGAATATACAACAGAACCATCAAGTACAGAAAGAATATCTAGTACCATTGTACCATGTCCCTTAACTTGTTCTTCTCTCGTCAATTATTTATGCGCATTAGGTAATCTTACTGGTCAAGAACAAGGTAATGGGGTTTTACGACGAATAGTTGTTGTCAATTTTTAATATTTTTAGTTTTCATCAAATTAAACCAATTACCCAAATGCGAGTAGGCAGTTACCAGTTTCACCACCAGGTGGCTGATTCGGGTCAATTAACATGGCAGGTATATAAGAAAGTTCCCTTAAACTTGAATATTATCAATGTAAGTGGCTCAATTTTCATATAACCCTTATGTGTCTAATACTTATACTACTGAAAATATGTCCAGTAAAGCAAAATATTATCTGTCCACTAATTTTTAATGACGTAAATCAAGATTATTTCTACTCGCATGTGGGTTATTGGCAATGTTCAGCAAATATGTTTGAATTAATAGTAGAAGCAAATTGTGTTTTACAGCATGCATTCATACATTTGTGAAGGTCAATGAAAAGATAAATGTTACAAATGAATAATAGAGAAGTTGGGGCATCAACTGTTTTATGGATGTTATATGTTGAGAAATAAATACTTTGTGAAATAATTAATTTAATTATACATAATGATTATGAATACATCTGCTCATGAAATATGCCTGGTTTATTATATGTTATACATTGTAATTGTAATACATATATATTATAAGACCAGTATATTGTACACACAATATATTATCACCTTTGAGTGAAGGGGAAGTAAAAAATCAATAGATAGTATTTGGTTTCATCAAAATTAATTGGAAGAATCCAGGGATGTCCCTTACAGTTATTGAGTTATCAATTGTATGGTTTTGTCTTTCCGTTTCATAAGCAATTTCAAAAAATTCCAGGGGGATTCACATTTGAAAAGTCCTCAGAATGATCAGAAACTGCATGATGAAAGAGGGGGGGAAGGGGGGTCAAAGACTCCAATCCCACCTTGGCGAGGGGCCTGGTTACACAAACATGATGTATTGTCAATAAAAGCAGATGAAATCATCAATACAATTATTGAAACTAGACTTACTCAATTCAATTATACAAGAAAGATGATTTATAGAGATGAAACTCCTAAAAAGTGACAATGGAAGTAGGGTACCCCCATGAACAACTTTGGGAGCCTCAGACATGACATTATGATAGAATATCCCATGGTGGCAGCTGTTTCCTTACTTAAATGATACACAAATTGCTATCAGACACTCTATCTAGTGATAGTGCATTTAATTTACAGATGACCTTCAAATTTTAATTAATGGCCAAAAATGAAGTCAAGTTAAAATTTCTTTGTTTGAGTGCACTAGAGGAATGAGATGCACATTGTTGTATTTAATTTTATAGCTACAAAAATGTCTTGGCCTAGCTCCACATATATTTTAAAGCATTTTATAATTTAGTTAAATACAGTATATACTTTGATTTTGACTCATTCTTTGTTATGACTTAAGGCAAAGTTTAGTCCATATATTTAACATGTCACCCCAATAAAGACGTTTCAGTGTCAAACACAGAGTACTCATTGTGTCCTTAAAATTCATTTAGATAGTGTCATCTCAGTCTGATATTTCCATGTTATCTGCATTCTAGGATGAAGAAAGGTTTTATCCTAGTTTGCAATGAGACTCCCAAACAAAGGCATTTTGGGATGCCAGGCATTGAAAGGAAAAATTGATTTTTATGACAGATAGATATTTAGGTATTAATTTCAAAATTTGAATATGTGAAAATGTTTGAATTTTGTTTCACAACAACCATACTCTTTTCCTTTAATTTTTCAACTGTTTCTTTTTCCTTTTTGGCACTTGCATAACATGCTTACTTACATTTACATGTACATTGTATATCATTAAAACCTTATTAAAAAGGTTACATAAGAATGTTCACAGCAATATAATTGTTCCACTATCTCCCGAAACAGACAAATAGGTACATTTTCTTTCATTTGCATGGCAGAGTTGTGTATCCCTCATACTAAATTAGAACTACAGTAGTTGATATGTAGGGGTAGAGCCTATATAACACTGAAAGAGTCAACAACTTTATGAATTGCCTGACCATGAATTTATGTGTGTAGACATGCATTTTGTTGCCAAAATATAAATATAGGTATGATATATATGTCTGATGTGATGAGTAATACTCCAGCCTGATAAACCATTGAAAACATTATAACAATATCATGTATGCTAATATTATATTCCACAACAAAGCAACCAGTATCACATGTTGACATTATTAATACAGTACACTGATAATTATGTTTTATGATAGACAATGAATGTGCCTGTGTTAATAAAAAACATGGAACAAGATATTAACGATCTACAATGCCTTCTACAATGCTTCAATGGACAAATAATACAATAGTTTACCTTGATACTTCAGACGTTGATCCAATCAGCTCTATTGACTCCTTGCTTTAGTTCCTGATCTGTTTTCCTTGCTATGTCCATAAATATGTATGCGATTCACCTGTACATGCGTGTTATTGCAAATATCTAAGGTACTGTCTCTGCAGTGTGCATGTATGTGTGACTCTCAGCAGTGTATTAATACAACCAGCCGTCCTGATTCTCATATACACATACTCATTGTATCTGATATAATATATTGTAAAATTATATTGATTGCTGGTTGGCTGCCTGTATGTGTTACATTAAAAAATAAACAGCTGCTAAATATAGTCACTGATGATATTGCACATATTTATGTCAAATGGTATGTTCATCACTAAATTAATTTAGTGTTTGGTTTGTCAAAATGAAAGCATCAAATTAAACATATATAGTAATAAGGGAGTAGGTTTAGATAGAAGGGTCGATATGATATGTATGTCATCACATAAAAGATGAGAGAGGTATAGTTTTGAACAGTAGTATTGGGTTTCACTTGATATTTTTAAATAAGGATAATTAGGATATTATCAATAAGTATAATTGACTGTAATTTAGTAATGCATTTAAAAAATACATATGAAGAAATGTAAAACTCAAATTGAAACACATAACATTAAAAATAATGTTAAAATTTTTTGATGTCCACTAGATAATTACTGCATTCTTTTAAAATTGTCCTTTATATGTAATCAGGGGGATTGTGGTGTCAGGCATTTCTGTGAGAGACTGCATTTAGTAACCTAAATGGCCAAGAAATGAACATTCATGTTCACCTAAAAATGAAGCCTTGGTTTTTTGTTCCAACTCATCTTTACTTCAATTCTCTCTTGCCCTTACATTGGTTTGCAGGTTTTCTGTATAAATGTTCTAATAATTTCAGAGATGAGCTGAAGAAATGTCGAGAAAGGATCCAAGAGCTGGAGGAGGAGAGAGACACTGTCTTTCAGGACATGCAGAATTCTGAATCTGAGGAAAACACGTAAGTCAACCTCATCACATCCCCGAATCAATAGAAATTATTTTATGATCATTGATTAAATTGATATTTATGAGTCTGTTAGGTTTTATCACTTTTATTGTTGGGTGCTGTGTTGGGAGTACAGTGAAACCAATTGATGTAAACATTCTTTGTTGTTATGTAATTGTCTATTTGTTCCACTTTATCACTCAAGGTAGTTCCTCACTTCCAGAATTTTTTAAAAACAATCACTTAAACATGATTCTAATGAACTATGCATTCTACCATAAGATGTAAGTAATCCACATAAATTTTGAAAATTATTACCAATTTCATATTGGTTACATACATGAAAATTGTTGTGATGTGAATTTACCTTCAATGAGTTTAGCATATTAAAAATTGTCCACAATTGTAAGTTTTATTGTACATTGGGTGTTGCTACATACTTACATGTGCAAAACATCTAGACAGAACATCAATTACCTCAAATTGGGAGTTAATAGTTATGATCATGAGGTGCAAATATAGCTTCAGGCTATCGGAAATTTCAGTGTCATAACCTTTGTCCATGCTTCTTGGTTGTATGATGTTGTTATTTTAATTTATCTTTATGATACATCAGATACTTTTTGAACACACTTATTTTGATCACTTCATGAGAGGCTGGAAAATGTCGTACTCTGTCAATATGTTTTATACCTAATACCAAAAGTCAGCAAAAAGGGTATCATTTAAAAATATAAATATATTAATGCCAGTGACCAACTCCATGAAGTTCAACTGACATCTATATTTGCTGTACATACTTATAAAGATTAATAACTTATAATTCATGCATTAAAAACATTTAAAACCCTATTGACATTTTAATATTGGTAAGTTTGAAAAAATTCCTTTTTGCTTGATATTCTCGAACAGAACACATTTTTAACATAAATATGTATAATAACTAGACCTTTTTAGCCGAGTCATCCAAAATAAGCCGAGTCATCCAGAATAAGCTGAGTCATCCAGAAAAAGATGGATGGATAAAATAGGAAGGTAGGATAGGATAGAATAGGAAGGGGCGATAGGATAGAATAAGAAGGAAGTATAGTATAGAATAGAATAGGAAAAAAGGATACGAGAGGATAGGAAGGAAGGATAGGAAGGAAAAGATACGAAGGAAGGATAGATAGGAAGGATAGGATAGGATCAAATAGGAAGGATGGATGAATTTTTCAATATTTTCTTTTCTACTCTTGACTTTCTATCAGGATACTATCAGATCGATTTTTCCGAAATTTCAAAACGCCATAACTTCCGAACTGGAAGTTGGATCGAAATTTGATTTGAAGATTCGGATTCTTGACAAAATTCTACCCCTAATTCATAACTCATACGTTAAATTTGGTGAATTTCTATTTTGACCTACTTTTCGAACACGCCATAACTTCGGAACCAGGAGTCGGATCGAAATTTGGTTTGCAGAATCGGATTCCTGAGAAAATTCTATCCTTAATTCATAACTCATACGTTGAATTTGGAGAACTTTTTGTTTTGACCTACTTTTCGGACACCATATCTCAAAAGTGGGTCAAAATACTTTCTGACGGCAAAAGGCTAACACTATTAACACATTCTTGGCTACATGTATACAAAATTTCGAAGAATATAATTAAAGTGTAGTGTCAGAATCGCAAAAATAAGGAAAAACTTTGAATTTGACCTAGATTTTGACCTAGGCCCTGGACTGGATTTAGACCTAGACTTAACTTGGACCTGGACCAACACTGGACTTGGACCCGGACTGGACCTTGACTTGGACCTGGAAATGGACTGGACTGGTATCTTTTCATTTTTTCACTTTTCTCGACTTTCTATCAGGATACCATCAGATCGATTTTTCTCGAAATTCAGATTCAAATTTGGTTTGCAGATTCGGATTCCCGACAAAATTCTACCCCTAATTCATAACTCATATGTTAAATTTGGAGAACTTTTTATTTTGACCTACTTTCTGGACGCCATATTTCAAAATCGGTAAGAGTAATCAAAAAACGGATGGCACACTTATGATAGGGCTGTTTCTAAGCTACATGATGTAAAAAAGATGAAGACGTTTCGATAAATAACGACGAAGATAAGAGACAAATGTAAGATTTGACCTAGTTCTTGACCTTTGACCTAGATAAAAAATTGACCCAATTTCCGAGAAACGAGATACTGGACCTAAATTGACCATACACAGGTCTTGACTCAATGTCTTCTAGTTATTGAGAAAACGTGTTAAGAAAAATAACTAGACTTTGGAAATTGAACAAAGTTCAATTTCAGACTCCAGATCTAGACTTTTTTAAGCCCAGTCATCTAAAATAAGCCGAGTCATCCAGAATAAGCTGAGTCATCGAGAATAAGATGGATGGATAAAATAGGAAGGTAGGATGGGATAGAATGGGAAGGAACGATAGGATAGAATAAGAAAGAAGAATAGGATAGAACAGAATAGGAAGAAAGGATATGATAGGAGAGGATAGAAAGGATAGGAAGGAAAGGATACGAAGGAAGGATAGATAGGAAGGATAGGATAGGATCAGATAGGAAGGATGGATGAATTTTTCAATATTTTCTTCTCTACTCTTGACTTTCTATCAGGATACCATCAGATCGATTTTCCGAAATTTCAAAACGCCATAACTTCCGAACCGGAAGTCGGATCTAAATTTGATTTAAAGTTTCGGATTCCTGACAAAATTCTACCCCTAATTCATAACTCATACGTTAAATTTGGCAAATATTTGGACTTTTTGGACACGCCATTACTTCGGAACCGGAAGTCAGATCGAAATTTGATTTGCAGACTCGAATTCCTGAGAAAATTCTACCCTTAATTCATAACTCATATGTTAAATTTGGAGAACTTTTTTCTTTGACCTACTTTTCGGACACCATATCTTAAAAGTGGGTCGAAATACTTTCTGACGGAAAAAGGCTAACACTATTAGCACACTCTTGGCTACATGTATACAAAATTTCGAAGAATATAATTAATCTGTAGTGTCAGAATCGCAAAAATAAGGAAAAACTTTGAATTTGACCTAGATTTTGATCTAGGCATTTTGGTGAATTTGACCTAGATTTTGACCTAGGGATTTTGGTGTCCAAATTTTGAAGTTGGGTAGCCTTCGAGGTCCCCTTCTTTCATAGGCTTTCATTATTTTAAGCTGTACTTAGTCTATATCTCGTATTTTACACTTCAAAAAAATCTTTTATCCCATTGACATAACATGGGGCACCAAATTTAGCTTTCAAAATGTCATAACTTCCGAACCGGAAGTCGGATCGAAATCAAATGTTAAATTTGGAGAATTTCTTATTTTGACCTACTTTTCGGACACCATATCTCAAAAGTGGGTCAAAATACTTTCAGACGGCAAAAGGCTAACACTATTAGCACACTCTTGGCTACATGTATACAAAATTTCGAAGAATATAATTAATCTGTAGTGTCAGAATCGCAAAAATAAGGAAAAACTTTGAATTTGACCTAGATTTTGATCTAGGCATTTTGGTGTCCAAAATTTTATGAAAAGAAGGTTTTGAGGTCACTTTCTTCTATGGGCTTCCATTATGTTTAGCTGTGCTTAGTCTATATCTCGTATTCTACACGTCAAAAAAATATTTTTTCCCATTGAATTAACATGGGGCACCAAATTTAGCGATTTTTGAATTTTCAAAACGCCATAACTTCTGCACCGGAAGTCAGATCGAAACTTGGTTTTCAGATTCAGAATCCTGAGAAAATTTCCTATAAGGCTGATATCCTGGACATTGGATTCAGAGAACTTTTTTTTGGACCTCGTTTTCGGACACTGATATCTCGAAATCGGTTTGAGATACCAAAAAATTAAATCGACCCTAGATTTTCTACTTTTTTATGAGGAACACAGTGAAAAAAGCCCGGATCCAAAATATTGAAGGACGACCGAGAAAATCGAAAAAAGTGACAAAGTACTGGATTTGACCTAGTTCTTGACCTTTGACCTAGATAAAAAATTGACCCAATTTCCCACCAACTAGATACTGAACCTAAATATACTGTATTATGGTCCTTACTGGAAACCTCATAGTTATTGAAAAAACTCCTAAAGAATAATAAGAATAAGAATAAGAATAAGAAGAATACTGGCAAAAACAATAGACTCCAGATTGACATCTGGAGTCTAATAAGAAGAATACTGGCAAAAACAATAGACTCCAGATTGACATCTGGAGTCTAATAATAGTAAAAACACCACTATTGATTTCACGTTATTCCACTTTTCCCTTTTTGTGTTGAACACTTTTGGTCCATATAATATTTCCCATCAAATAGTCTTATTAAGTAGAGGTCTCTTCACTTTGATATTTATGCCATATGTTACTTGTTTTTCCAGCTCAGCAGTATACAGACTGAGATCACAATTTGACAGAGTCATCAAGGAACTTGACTCAGAACAAGACCTTGAAGAAAAGATCAAAGCCACCTTGGAAACAGAAGAGTGAGTTTTTGCCTCTAAAAGACTAGTGTAGTCATGCACCAATTCTTGTAAAAACTCCGGAACTCCGGAAGCAAATACAGTTTTGCTCAAGTTTTACTTTCAAGAATAGTATGAATGTTACTCAATTCTATTTCAATCGGGATTTCCTCCAAATTGTGGTCAAACATCTAATGAAAAAAGTCATTTATAGTATTCACATATAAGAACTATATTTGCATTATTAGGAGTGTATTTAATTTGCAAAACTGTTTTTTCTCATTTATGAAAATTAATGCCTGTCCTTGTATTTAGGTATGAGTTGTCCCAGGCTCAAGTTGAACAAGGCAAGTTTCTATTGGAAGATGACACTCTCCAGAAACAAGAAGTTCATTGGGAGAGAGAGAGAACAGATATGGCCATGCAACGCAACAAGAAGGAGACTGCATTTGCTGTACAGGCAGAGAAGAAAAAGAAATCGAGAGAAAGGTAAGACAGAAATGATGTAATCATGGTACAAATCAATAAAATAGTATCATATTGTAATTTTATTTTATATTTATACAATCAGATTAGCAATTTATTACTTTGTGAGAGACTGGGAAATACCTAATAACTCTCAATATGTTTTGAACCAAAAACCTTAATTAACTGATACTCTTTTCAACAATAAGGTTAGTGCAAAATACTTCTATGATGGCAAAACTGAAACTGAGGTCCTTATATTGAGATATATTGATTACCGGAAGATATAGAAATGTATCAAAATTAACTCAAACAATTTGTTAGTGTGAAATATCTTTCAACATAATGCAAACATCACATAAAGGTCACCTATGTGTTACAAATTTGAAAAAAACTATTGTTTATACATTCAGGGAACATCAAGCTGCTCTTCGGGAAAGAGAGAGAAGACATAGACATGCTATCAATGAGGCAAGGAAGAGCAAAGAGAGAGCCAATAAATTCCTCAAGGAAACTATGTCCAGGTAATGCCTCACTCAGATTTGATCTACGGCAACTAGACAGTGGCCGTTGCTTCCCAAAATTGAGAGAAATATGCAGTATAAAATATAGGAGTTAAAGCATTTCGATGTAGATTTTCTATATCATTTCTGTGAAGCTACCATAGAGCAAATGTGACTGAGGCTTAAGTTGCCAGTATCACACTTTTTACCGACCAGTCTTTGACATTTCCTTATATGTTTGTGATGCTTGTTAGTGGAAATGATAACACTTAAAGTTTTGACTGTTTAAATTGCAGGATCAGACAACGTGACAATGAGGAGGAAGAGCGACAGAAACAAGACATGGATCAACGCATGAAGACATTACTTTCTCTCAAACAGAATATATCTTCTAACAGGGTATGTAGGGATAATTCACCATTACCATTAAGTACCTTGAGTCACATTACTTAGTCTAGTATTTAACTAACAAGCCCCTTTTTATGTCACCACCACAAGTGGCCACATATTGTTATACTATAAGCTCTAACTTTTTGTGGACGGTGTTCAGTGGTTGGTGTTGGGTGTCTGTAACAAATTGCAGGTGGTGACATTTGCATGTTAATGCCTCATTGCAGGTTTATTCCTTTGGAGATGAATTCAAATTCTTACAAAATGTGGCCTTATAATGTGGTTTGTCACATTCATTTCTTTATTTTTTAATAATCAGTAATATTAAAGAATAAATGAAATATGTTACCTTATGGATTGTATGCGTTGTGAATTTTATTGATTGACAAGATATATTATGGGTTTTAGGAGAACTTGAAAGCTATTCAGGCGAGAGACAAGGCACTGGAGAGACAAGGAGAGCGTGAGTTACAGGCAGAAGCTGAGAGAGTGAGGGCTGAGGGAGGCAACCCGCAGGAGGTCCTTATCAAACATAAACGCAACATTGAACTAGAGAAGGAGAAACAGTAAGGAAATGAATGATATTAATAACAGTTCCCTTTTGAGAAATCACTTTCAGTTCTTCAGAATTAAGAATATTATTATATCTGTATATTAGTGTTACATTTTAGTATTATTACACATAAATGTTTGTATGTGAAAATGTCAATGTTTACTCTCAAATATGTATAATTTTTATATGACTTTTGTTTTGATAACATTTGTTACTAATTTTTGTACCACAGAGACCAGAGGTAAAGTATTATTAGAATCACAGAGATATATCCAGCTGGATATATCACTCCCCTTCACTTACTGTACCAATAGCATACCCAAGGCTTTGGTATCATCTTTACTATGAGCAACTTAGAAATTCAAGCGCAAATGCAAAATGAATATTTGCATTAAGTCAATTTGCATTTCATTTGCAAATTGGAGACACAACTGCATGGTATCAAGGCCTTTGCTTCAAATTCTTATGGTTAAGGGTCTTTAGTCTTTAGCGGACTTACATGTAGTTCTAGCTTCATAGAAAATTGGGAATAGTCACATAATCACAACCTAAACATGATTCCATTCCATAGTTTTTTTTTGCTTTATTCAAGTGCTTTTTGTTAATTCTTAAAGAAACCATTTAGTTCTCCGAAAATCATTTGTTGTCAAAAAAGTATAAAAACCCATTAAGTATCCAGTTTAAAGACATAGATAACTACATATCTTGAGCCTTGGTTTGATAAGGTTCAAATTGAAGTTACAACAGTATCAGCTGATTCCAAATATTTTCACAATCTGTACATATTGCGTTTAATTTAATCTTAATATTAATCTTTAACATGTCTCTTTGTTCAGGTTTTTTGATACTGCCCAGAGAGAGAGGCAGGTAGAAATAGCATCTAAGATACTCAGAGAAGAGCAAAGGATGAAGAAGAGAAAGGAGCAACAGCCACAGCTCTGGAATGATCCCAGGAGAGAGAAAACAAAGGTATTATGATGAGAAATTATTGTTTCATTGTATTTGAAGTTGAATTTGATGTTTAGATAAGTATGCAAATGGTATATCCAGAGTCAAATCAAAACACTTCAGAGAATTGTTATCCCAATGATGTAGAAGAATATGAAATATTGTCAAACCTGTTGATGAATTCATTTCGTTATTGCAAAACAAATTTGTTTTCAAATGATCATCTTTGAAGTTTAAAGAAAAAATTATTCATGAATGTTTTATATTTTAGAGAGTGGCCCCTCATAAGAAGAAAAAGCTGCAGATCTTCCAAGAGAGTGGGTCATCCTCCCTTGAATACAGCGCTGATGCTGAGGAAGAAGGGGTGAGGTTTATGCAGTAGTATTAAATTGAACTTATCGGGTCCATATCATTTTCATTTTGGGATGAGATTGAAAAGTTACAAGACATTGCAATTCATTTACAAATTTTATTTTTATATCAATACACCTTAATGAAGAGTAATTTCAATCAATTTCAAAATTTGATCTCTCATTGATTTATATTTAAAAATGTTTTGCTTATTTTACAAAAAATTTATTGCTATTGTTACTGCTTTTAACTTCATTCATATCTTTTGTATTTAGAGATCAGCCCCTGATGAGATAGATGCTCCCTCTAGTGATGAAGGGGAGAACCGCCAGTCAACATTTGACAGAACAAGTCGTGCTGAAATTCAAGACTCTGATGACTCTGATGGTGGTGGGAGTAAGTAAACATATTTCAACAGCATGCAATTTTTCACACAAGTTAAAAAGTAAAAAACATCAACATTCAGAGGAAATACAAATATTTTGATGAAAAACATGATTTTTATGACACTACCAGAAGTGATGACATATTTTTATTGTCTCCAACTTTTTGTCTATGATGTTTGGTGGTCGGGGGTTGGTGTTTGGAATTCAGCATCTGTAACAAATGGCAGGTAGTGACATTTTGCATGTCAATACCTCATTAATATTTTACAGGAAATAGAAAAATGAAATGAACTGAATAACAGATTTACATCAATAAAATGAAGTGATTGATAAAAAAATTCACAATGCTTAAAGTTCTTATTTTTATTATTTCAGTGGAGGACAATATTAACTTAGCCAAGCCTGAGTTTGAAGGCATGTGGGACCAACATAAACCATACACTGTTCCTAAAGACATTGATGGACAAGGGGACCAGTTCACTGGACTATCAAAGATGGAAAAGGTTAGTGCCTAGATAGAGGAAATGATCTATTTTTGTGTAATCTTTGATGAGATAAATCAAATAAAAATCACATTCATGTATTTAATACAATATCATAATAATATCCAATTTAAATGCAAGGATGTCTGGACGTATATAGTATACACCTATTGGTATATTGAAGCTGTCTTGCTGATCTGTCACTAATACATATTTAGCATTTATGAAACTCATATGATACAAACTTGCTTTACTAACATCATATTTAGGCTGCTGAACAACAGATGCAAACTGCCATACAAACTTACCCAAAGGTATATTGCCATAAATAATGGTCCACCCTGTCCTTGCATGCTGTAGAGGTTATTTTGTACCATAGAGTTTTGCCCCATGATTGAGAAATATGTCTACTTTTTATTACTCATGCACTGCTGTACCGTGATTGGTCAAGTTATGTCACATGATAGTATATTGATGATTCTGTATATCACAAGTCCAACTTATACATGTACTTTCCTGGTGATGGAAAATAGTGCAATCTTCTTATTTAGCACAATATACTTACGTGCAAAACACTTTGAAATACAAAAATGAATGAAAACTGTAACCTCCTTTTTCAATTAAGTATTTGTATAAAGCTCTAAATGTGCACATAAACTATTCCTAAACTTGCATATCATTGCCTCTTGTAAACTAGAGTCCAGCACTTGGTCATGTTACTGCATGATATCATCTACAAAACTCACAGGAATGCCATTCTGACACTCAGATCATCTTCCTTGCAAAGAACCATTCAATACATGCATGCTTTATACACCCTCTGTCTTACTCATAGTAAATGTTATGCACGCTGGCTCAGTAATCTTATTCCTTTAGACACATAAATATCCTCATATCATAAATGTATGTTGACGCTTTAGCTAGAATGTCTTCATAATCCTGCATAGAAAAATTCAAAGTGTAGATCTACAAAAAAGTTCAAGAACCTTTATAACTATGTGATATTTTATGCACAATTTACCAATTAAGATACTGTACAGGGTGTCAAAAAACAACAGCACCCCCCTCAACATTTTTTGTTATGAAATGTACATTATTCTTTTTTCCTGGAATTCAATGTGAATGTTTTTGTTTTTTTTACTGTACCCCATATGATTCTAATTGTATATTTTGTACGTTTCCAGGACATCATGAGCCGCCAGTTTGAGAAACAAAAAGCCAGTGTTGTAACTAAGCAAGTAGCTGGGGGCAAAGAGTTCAAGGGGGTTGCCTTCTACAGTAAGCCTGATGTCATTCATTTCAAGGTATGTTCAACCCCATGTTATACATTTCAACGTTTTTCAACCAAATGTCATACATTTCAAGGTATGTTCAACCCCATGTTATACATTTCAACGTTTTTCAACCAAATGTCATACATTTCAAGGTATGTTCAACCCCATGTTATACATTTCAATGTTTTTCAACCAAATGTCATACATTTCAAGGTATGTTCAACCCCATGTTATACATTTCAATGTTTTTCAACCAAATGTCATACATTTCAAGGTATGTTCAACCCCATGTTATACATTTCAATGTTTTTCAACCAAATGTCATACATTTCAAGGTATGTTCAACCCCATGTTATACATTTCAATGTTTTTCAACCCAATGTCATACATTTCAAGGTATGTTCAACCCCATGTTATACATGTGGCCAAGTGCGGTATAGTTGGGCATATAAACACAGATAATATACGTAATTGTTTTGGTTGACGTAGTTTATTTCAACTGTGACATGTGTGTGTGACAAAAAAGGGCAACAGGATTGATCCTGCAAATACAGAAACAAAATATTATATAGAAACCTCACATTCTAAATTCCAGTAAAAGTACAAATAGTTACTACTTGATCTTATTTGACATGCTTTGAGCTATACTCTTTCACTCAACTATGGCGTATCCTACTCTTAAAAAAATGACATTACCCTATCGAAATGTCCATAAAATCTACTAAAATGCCATGTATAAAGGAAAATATACGAATGTATAATTTACCCATGGAAACTCAAACAAATGCAGTCATCCGACCTAGTCGATCATAGACACCTGTCCACACCCATGAAACCATGCACTGCTTGTCTCCCTAAAATACACATGGAATAATGGTAAGTATGTACAAATGTCCATACCTTAATGGAAATCCATTAACCTGTACACCTAGCATGGATAACAAATGTTAACAAACCTAGCTTATACACTGTTGTAAGTTGATTTGTACTAAAACTGACACAATGATGAAATAAAATAAAAACATAAGTCTTGTACACTGTACCTTGCTATAAAATGACCTACAGAATATCTACTAAATGTGATATTCTATGAAATGGAACGATTATATAAATGACGATCTACATGTACATACCAGGTTAGTGCTATACTATACTTACAATATACAGTATACCACTGGTGTAGATCCCTGACCAAATGTTCTATGTTCACAAGTATGGACCCTCAGAACATCATAACACTCATAACTCTGGATGGAGTATTACTCTAGTATGGATCCCTATACTGGATGTAGCCTTAACTCTAGTACAGATCCCTAAAACATCATTACAAATATTCTCACCAGTATGGAAACTCTACATTAATCCATATAAAATCCATACAAACATCAAAATGTATGACCTGAATCACCCAGATTGCATTGAAATAGTATATTACACTTGAAGATAGATATAAAATGATAGGTGTTATGTAATGTGAACTTATTCAAGATATCCAAGGACATGCAGGAAAAATGAGCTTGAGATAAACCCATGCAAAATGGCATAAAAAGTACACAAATATATAGTGGATATAATAGCATGTCCGAAATAGACACCAAAATGTCATCCTATGCTAGTAATGTAAAGATATTATCATTTTTCCAAAATAAAAGCCATGTGCGAATGAAAATGCAGACTCCGCACCGGAAAGAGATCATAAGAACATGAATTGGCACAGAAATATAGTTTCCTCCAGTAATAAAACAATACCTTAGCCTTGATAAGATACTTTGTCATAAATCTTACAATATATTGAGGCAAATGGGTGTAATAAACATGTAGAAAATGGGTCACATACATCACCTTTCAACATTTGCCATTTTATTCCAACGATTGCAGCGCCACCAGCGTTCTTCTTGCGAACTAACTGGGGACCTGTCATTATTACGTAGCACTGTGGCATGTCACTTTGCCACACATACCCCTCCTTTACATGAAATGTCTACTTAAACAAAATTGTAAACTCTGAGCTAACATAAACTTAACTTTATACAAATCCTGGCAGCTCCACCAAGTAAGACAATATGCTATAAAGCAAACTTTCATGGCAACCTAAATGGTGACCTGTTGCTTTGGAATGTACTTAAAATGTAACATATCGTATCCTAACCTGCTAGATTAGTATATAAGTGAGACTAGAAAAAATAATGCTGTAGTTTTAGACTACACTATTGGATTTCATGACATTTGTTTTAAAGATGAATTTCAATCTAATCCTATAGTTACTTCTACGGATAAAAGTATAAAATATGACCTATACAAACACCTATGTACAGGGAACACTAGCTAGCAATACAATATTTAAAAAAAATGCAATGACTTGCATATAAAGTTTGTTGATTTTGGAACTTTTGACCAAATACAAAAACAAAAAATTATGCTTGCTTTTTATTATCAGACATACTCTGAATTATATTTTTAACCTCTTGAATAGCAGTATCATTGCAATTTCACCAGTGTTAAACTAGTAGCATAAAGTTTCTAAAAGTATTGCTTTTTTTCAGTATGTAGCCACCAGTACATTATATTCCTGTATGATGTACCCTATGGTAAGCCTTAACATTAAATGAGATAGTTACCTTAGACACCATTGCCTAGATAACCATGTTACCACTCATCTATCATAACCATGGTGAATGTTAAAGCAAAAACTGGAATATGCTGTGCACATTCATCATAGTTCCCATTTTCCAGTATGAGACTAGTGTAAAATTAAGCTAACTACACCATTGTACACCACCCCTTAGGCATATGAGTCTACATTAAGTTTACCTATTTATTTCCGGTATGTACTCCTAAACTAGTTTTATGAGACCAGAGTAGCCAAAGTAAAAAATACAACTGGATGATATTGAACTGTAAGCAAGTTTTATGAACTACCCCCCCCCCCCCCTTATTTTAACACATACATGAATAAAACGTGAACAATCAACATATATACAGGAAACAACTGTATGATACAGAGTGATATGAAGAGATTCACCAGTGACAATCCCCGAAAACCAAACAATCCATGTGGAACTTATGAAAAAGGTATGATTCTCAAATCCACTATTACCAGTGACAATAGAGTATTTTATGCGAACCTGATATACTAGTACAGTCTTGGTAGTCTATGTGGATTGCGATTATAGCCCTTGTTCACTCTCTTTGACCTCCTTACTTTTTGGGTCCTATTGGTTTCTTCTACTGTATCTGGAACTTTAGTCTCTTTAGATCCACTATTTTCTGCACTTTTTTCTGAGTCACTGTTATTCTCATATTCACTAGTCTCTTCAATGGTTGTGGTTTCACTGTCTTTAGGAAATTCAAAAGTCTCTTCAATGATCAATAACTCATAATCCGAATCTGAATCAGATATGGGTTCTCCAGCCTCATTTTGGATAACCTCTTCATCGCTAGTTGGGTCATCCTCGTTAATCAGATCATTGTCATCATCTTCATCCCCCAATTCATCAGTATTGTGAATTGTTTCATTTGGTGTAAATTTCCTTTCCACCTTTCTGACATTTACTCGGTTTACATGTCTGTATGTACCTCCTTCTACTGGTACTACTTTACATACATTATTAGGATATTTCTCTAGTACTCTGTAATTCTGAGGCGACCATGAGTCCTGAATTTTATTCCGTCCTAAAACTCTATTCCTCAGAACAACTACATCTCCCACAGCTAGAGTATCTGGTTGAAGTTTTCTATCATGGGCCTCTTTTCTATGTTTGGCTGCTGTGTCCAAATTCTTCTTAGCAACTTCATGTGCTTTTTCCATTCCTTTTTGGTGGTTCTCAACCCAATCCACAGCACCTGTTGGCTCAGTTCTCTCCTTACTATCCAGCAGAAAGTCAATGGGAAGCCTTGCCTCCCTCCCAAACATAAGGAAATGAGGGGTGAATCCTGTGCTTCCGTGTGGGGTACTGTTATAGACTGCAACCAGGTCTTGAATCAAATTAGGCCATTGACGCTTCTGATCACTGGGTATGGACTTCAGTAGATTGTGTAGAGTCCGATTAAATCGTTCAGTTTGGCCATTCCCCTGGGGAAAATAACTAGTAGTGCGAGACTTTTCCACCCCATACAGTTTACATAGTTGGGCAACAACCTTGCTCTCGAAATTACGCCCCTGATCAGAATGGAGACGTTCCGCCACACCCAGCGTATTGAAGTACCTAACCAGACACCGAGCCACAGTATCTGCACGCTGGTTGTTAGTGGGAACTGCCATGGCATATTTTGTAAATACATCTGTTAGGACCAACACATTCTCAAGTCCTCTAACACCTGGTTCCAGCAAAGTGTAGTCCATCGCCACTATCTCCAAAGGACGAGTTGCCACAATGGTATTCATGGGAGTTTGTATTTTGGGTTCAGGCATCTTGGCAACACAGCATCTCTGGCATTCACTTACATACTTTTTGATGTCCCTGAACATGCCTGTCCAATAGCATCGATGCCATATCACAGAAGCAGTTCTGTCAATACCCTGATGTCCATTATCATGTACCGCCTTGATGACTTCTGTGGTATAACTGGTGGGTATCACCACTTGCTGAACTGTCATCTTGGTCTTTGGATCTGTGACGACTCTATACATTAAATCATCATCCTTGATCAACAATTTATGTCTTTGTTTTAACATTAGTTTAACATTCTTGGGTAGTTTATCCTTGACCGCACTGGAGGGATCCATACTGATATATTGCCTCACTGTTTTTAACATAGGGTCCTCTCTTTGTAGTTTCTTCCAATCCAGTAAAGGCCTACTGGGCAAGACTTGGATAGACTGATTCTCCTTAATGACCAAATCAGTATGGCTTGGAGAGGATACTTCAATTCCAATCTCTGTGAATGGCCTGGGAAGTGTAGCTCCTGTCTCCTCAGCTTCCTTACGAGAAAGCATGTCAGCAATCTCATTCATCCTTCCTGCTTTGTGTTTTATTGTGAGGTCATAAAGTGCTAGGTCAGCAAGCCATCTGTGTTCTGTTGCACTTAAA